TGAAAGTTGAAGCAGCTGGAAGTCACTATATTGGACATACTGACTCAACCAAACCACAAGACTCTATAATATATTACAGGGTCAAACGTACATTGGCAGGAATATAAATGTTACCATTTCTGCCCTAATCTTGCTCTCCTTTTTCTCAAAGCATTGCAACGAAGGCAAAGGCGATACCTTTTAACATAACTAAGGGAGTCAGTTGGTGGTTTTGACCAATAAGAATGAAGTATTTATAACAGTCAGGTTATAAGACAGCCTTGTGAGAAAAACTGATTACTTATACTAGTAACAAACGCTGTGTAAAAGTGGGAATATTAGCCTATGATGTTATTTATACAAGAAAACACACCCATGCTTGTGTGTCTTGTAGTATGTCCAGGCTGTAGGGTTCTGCCCAGTAACATGTGTATCAGACAGCCGCAGTCAGCATTTTTGTCTTTACATGCAGCTGGAGCAGGAACATGCCGGTTCAGTGTGTATGTGCATGTTCCTGTGTGTATGTGTATGTGTGAGTGTGTGTGTTGGTATGAACATTTCATCACAGCATTTTCCATTAGGCCGTCAACATTCTGCGAATTATCTGTCATCTAGAGCGAGCTTGCTTTGACCTTGAAGATCGTAGCGTACAACAAAGTCATGCCGTACACCCTTCTGCTCGGGTGGTCCTCTCTCTCCGTCACTCACTCACTCACTCAAATCGCCTTTTTTTCCTACTGTACATGTTCCTTTCTTCAGCATGAAAGGATTCTGCTTCATTAGAAGACCTTCAGCCTTCCACTACTGATGCTAGTCTCAAATTAATTTCACTCCCTGGATGAGCACTGACGTCCTGTCTGGAATAACCCAAGCTTTTTCGAAGAACTGTCACATCTGATCAAGAAAGATAGTAGCGCCACGCTTGCTCTCTTTATGTTTTATGACAGCGGAGGCCTTCACATCAGTAGTTGGTTAGCTTAGTCATTACTTAAGTCGTGGGTTCACAGGTGGAAGCATTGTTTTGACAGCGCTCACATTAGTGTAAATGATATGAATCAGCACTCAACAGGTTAAGTTCAAAATTTGCCACGAATAATTTTCTTATAATAAAAGCTTAAAGGGATATTACGGCGTAAAATTAATTTAGGGTCAAACACACTGGAACACAGAGTTAGACGACCCCTCCAGCGATAAATGTTGCCGACCACTGGCCTTTCTAGTTATACAAACTTTAGTACTAAACTTTAGTAACGACCACATGATAGCAATACATAGTGGTCTGAGGAGCCACACACAAACGTCAACCAAAACACAACTCTATAGCCACAAATAATACTCAGAACAGTCTATATACATATATATATATATATATATATATATATATATATATAACAGTGGCGGCTGCTGGTCTTTCAAGGAGGGGAAGCTCATTTTTCTGGCCTACATCATAACTGTGTTTGTTTATTTGTATGTAACAGAACAGAGTCGCCAAACACAACGGCAGTCGTTTTTAACAAAGACAAAAGTCGCTGAGGATCGGTAAAGTCTCTGGAGCAGTTAAGAACAACGGAATGAATAACTTGGAAAATGCTCTGGTAGATGTTTTATTCTTCAAGATTGCTGATTCGCTTGTTTAGCTGTCAATCAAAAAAGGATTTCACCTCAGACAGCTCATCCAATCATGGATGCGCAGAAGCTCGGAGTCCGGGAGAAAGTCGGGACCGCCCTCTCGCCATAGAACTCCAGAGACGCCGAGCGTCCGATGGGCGGGACAAAGCCCAGCATTTATCCAATGAGCGTCTAGTTTCGCTGCTGGAACAACCCACTTTGAGCCTCCACATTGAAGTCAGCAGACTCTGAGCGTCCGGCTGTGTGAAGCACTGAGGCGCTGCGAGGATGAATGAGAAGGAAGTTATGCCGGTTACCTGTGATTATCAGCTTCTTATCACAGTGTCTGAACAAAAGTTGAAGGCTTTCTAGCGCGTATTTAGTTAATTAAATGTACACACAGCCGTACGTATTTTACCACTTTTTCTTTTTTTTTGGGGGGTGACATTTTAAGGGAAGCTCAGAACAGTCTATATACATATATATATATATATATATATATAGTTACTGTGAATCATGTAAAGCTGCTTCAGTTGAACCCCTAAATAGAGACATGCAGCTAGAAGTGAGCACCGTAGGTCCTCTTGAAGTGCAAGCATGTGTTTCCCTAGGTAGGTTAAAAAGTACCAAAAAGCCTCTACATCATAAGAGGACCCCCCACTGTTGTGCCAAGATGCTTCAAAGCATCTGCAGGATGACTTCAGGCTGCCTGATGGCAAAAGTCCCTCTTAACCCAGTCCAAAATTTGAGCGCTGGATTTACCAGTGTATCCATGTGTGTGGGTTTGTGCCCATTTATGCCAGAGGTGAAGCCATGCAAAAGAAAGATAACAGGACATAGCAGAGCAGATGGTTGCTGTGTGCCTGGCTCTGACAATCACAAAATCCTCTCTTTAACAGATCTGGGAAAGATGTTTTTCCTTACCTGGTGGGGAAAACCACAAGGTGCTTCATAATCAAAAATAAACAGATAAAAACAAGCTTTCAAATCTGCCAGTTTGGCAGAAATTTCTTAGCTCCGCAGCTAATGTAAATGATGAGGAAAAATTACTATGATATTGGCTGGAGGAGAAGGTGAAGTTTTTATATACTGAAAGGAGATTTCTCTCATGCAATATTATTCTTTGTTTAGGGGAATAGGACGAACTTAACCTGCACGACAACTTCAGAGCAAGACTACTAATTAACTCTCCATCAAATCTGTTGGGATTTATTCTGTGACATTAAGTCTGTTCTCATATAGACACATATTAGAAATTTTGCCAAATGCAAATTTTCTATAAAGTTTCAAAAGCTTAGCACTTCATTACTTTTAGTTGTTAACATGTTCCTTGCAATGTAAAGTCTTTCTCGTTAGACGACAGTTCTTGTGGGCTTGGCATGAGTCTCTGGAGGCGGGACAGAACATCAAAACTTTTACAAAATTATAGCAGAAAAAGGAATGGGAAATTTCACTATGATAAAGTCGACTAAGGCCACTTTTAGACGAAAACGGTCTCCATAGAAAACGGAAAAGTGCCGTTTCGTTTTCAGTTTTTATGCAGTGTTTACACAAAAACGCAATGTGGTTTGAAAACGCTGTAATGTGCATGCCAGGTCACTAGGTGGCGCGTGTTGGTGTGACAGTATGATCCATGAGGATTCTGTACAGGTCGAAATTGAGCTCCTGCCCGTTCAATAATCAGGACAGCGCGACTCGAATGTCTAGCATGGTTGTTGTTATTTTCAAGGAAGCTGCGCATGGCTATGATGTCATAAGCGTGAGCCAGCATGAGCCAGGACATCACAGGTAAAACGTCCTAAACGAAACTAAATTTTTCCGTTTTCTATGGAGACCGTTTCTGTCTAAAAGTGGCCTCAAGCAAATTTTCCTGTCTGTGACCTCAAAAATTACTCTGGCAGAAACTCATGACTCACACCATCCCTTGAGATGGTTTAACACTTCTAACTGTAGTTGTCCTGGGAAAGTGATTATGAAAGTGGCTTGTACATCACAGACCAAATTAGCCAATCACACCACAAGCAGAGGAACATGTATGTGTATGAATTCTCTGATGGCAAAGTGCTGAAAAATATCTAGAGAAGAGTGTACACTGAAACTGGAATGAATGCTTGGGGTCTCTCAAAATTAGTTAAATTGCATGTTAGACTTCACCCTGTCTGCAGAAAACTAGGAGCTAAATTGAAAAATACCAGAAATCCCCTTTCATCCACTCTCAATACCAAATGTGTTGCATACATCGTCATGTGTTTGATAAACCACAGAGAGCTAAACCTCTGCGCGACATCAGTGTATTTTTATTTTTTTTAGAAACTTGAGGGCGGATGAAAGGAAGTTGTGTAAAAGATGTTTGCAATGAGTTGGCATCAACTCCGCCCTCTATGGACCAGAATCTGTTTGAGGATTTCAATTTTAGACAATATCTGACATCAGTGTCGGTGCAGAAATGTGCATTTAGGAGCTGTTTTTTCACCCACACAGACACTCTCTTTTGTTATGGTCTCCAGTGGGAAGCCTGGGATGCCCACTGTTACATATATGCTTGCCTGTTATCCTCTGCATTTCCCTTTCATTGTTAGCTCAAGAGTTTTTATCAGCCAGTCGTACGCCTTCCTCCCAAGCCCACCCATGTCCTGTGTTCCGCCCTCTTGTGACTCACGTATTACCCAGTACATTTTTACCACTGACTGAAAGTGTTTGCGATGGAGGCTTACCTCTAAATGTATGTGTTTATGTGTTGGTAGTTTGCCCCTCCAGTGCTGCATTGCTTCATCTAATGGTGGCATTCAGATGATGTGAGTGAGTTTGCCTTTCTGCCAGTGATTTAAGCAGCAAGAGATTCAGGAGAAAATACACATGATGATTTTATTTGAGATTTCTCATGTCAAAGCTTTTTCATTTTAGCCTTGATCAGGGGTCCAAACCTTTTCATTTGAGGACCCAAAAGAAAAAAACAAGTGCCTCTCCGGGACATCATTAAAAAAAAAAAAACACCATGAATTTCCAAAATATCATTTTAGTCAAACAGAGTAGCAGAGTTATAAATCAGTGAATTATTTAATATCGACGTTGCTGTTTTTATTGACTTTCAACATAGACGTGAATTTGAGTTTAATGGATGTTAATGATTTCAAAAACCAGTTTTCAGTTTTCTTTGGCATCCTTGTCGTCTTACCCAACTTCTCTGTATAAACACAACGCTGTGGTAGTAAACAGCAACTGTGCTGAAGTGGGGAGTAGCTTGTGTTTTGGTGACAAACAACTCAGCCTTTGAATACCAAAATGGTACCACGCAGAGCTGTTCGGAACTGAGAGAACCGGCTCATGCTGAGACAAATGATTAGGCTTATAGACCTTGAATTCACTTCACTACTAGAATCAATGCTAAGGGGTTTTTTTATTTTTTTTTAACCTGAGAACGAAAGATCCAAACCCTGTTCCCACTATATAAGATGGATCACAGACAACGTAAGCAAGTTCATACAATCTTTAGAAATTTGAAGAAACTAGTAGATTTATTGAAGATAAAATGTGTTTGGATTAATGCTTTTTTTGGACTTGGATTATGGGAACCCTTTCTGTTGCAGCAGGAGGAATTTGGTGTTAATTTATATGGGTTTTAAACAGTATTAACAATTTAAGGTATTAATTATCCAAGTAAATTTCTTTGTTATTTTTGGTTAACTGTGCCCACCTCTTAGCATTACTTTATCATGGAGCAGTGGATTCTCAGCCTATTCAGTGACTGTGGGTGACAGCCATCCACAACGTGAACAACGCTCATTGATTTTTATTTGGAAACCCAGTTGTTCAGGATTTTACTTAACATCTTGAACTCTAGCTTGGCAGCAAAGACAGGAAAACTGTTTCACTTTAGATAATGAATTCACTCACTTGTTTGACATCGTTGTTGGCAACCCAATCTGGGTCACAACCCTAAGTTTGGGAAAGGCTAGTCTGGATCAAGGATGCCAAAATGAAGTGACACTGAACTTTAGAGGAAAGCATTGCCTGTAGAAAGAAGGTGATCCCAACGGTTATGCCAATTATGATAATAATACTGTTCAAAACGGCTAATGCTGTGTAGATAGCAGGTTAGTCATTTCAAGTATATCAGCATGGTGAATGTTTCTACAATGTATTGGGGCATGGCCTTCTGTCTTCTAAGTCTGACAGGCTGCTGAAGCAGATGTAGACGTAGGACCTGCTAAATAAGCATGACATGTTTGAAAATCAATACTGTGGTGTTTGCATGGAATAAATAAAGGTCAAAGAGGTCAAAGATTCATCTAACCATGTGGGAAGGTACTAAAAGACAGCTCTAATAACATACTGAGTTTCAGAAATCAATTATATGTTTTTGCACATATGTAGTGGTGTTTTTCCAGCTGCTAAAAGCAGGAGTCCCACTGTACCTGAAGGTCAGAACTGTCTAGGAAATCAGTGGAAAAAACTCCAGGGGGAGTGTGGGGCCCCAGTGGGTCAAGTGTCATGGCTTCACTTCCTTTCAATCCTCCCACATCGAAATCCAACCAATCCATACTGTCCAACCCTTGTTCCTCCTTGGCTGCTTTGTCAAAGGTATCCATAGGAGATGAGGGATGGTCCAGGATGCTTGGAGTGCACAGCATTTGACTGTGGAGGTCATCAATTAAAGTCAATGTACAGCCAGGCTCCACCCCCAGGAGAGGATTCCCCATGGTGCTTTCAAGGAAGTCCTCAAGGCGTCCATGGCTAATGTCCTGCTTCTCCTTTGTTGTGTCCTCTAGAGTCCGAAACTCAGGCTGGGCAGATGGTGAGGACTGTGGGGGGTAGAGGCAGGGTGAGATGGAGGGGTCTGAATCAGGGCTGTCCTGAGAAGGACCTGGGGTGGTTTGAAGGAAATGTGATAGAAATAGAAAGAAAAGCTACACTTTATTCCCAATAATATTAAATGACTCATGATGACACTGCAAGAAAAAAGTGACATGTAAACGTGTAGTGGTTACCTCCTGTCTGCAAAATGCTGTCAATAAAACCATTTGTGAGCTCTCCAACCTAAAAATAGAAATACAAATAAAACATCACATTTACTTTCAAAGTTAATTTTGCAGAGCCAGTGTTCCTGAAATTATATATTCAAATTACTTTGCAGAAAGACACAATCAGTGTGTCTTACTTTGTTGTGAGGGGATGATTCCCATGTCTTCATAGAAGTTTGAGCTGTAGGACCTGACAGGATATCCATATTGAGGCACATCTCCTAAAAGAGGGGGCCATGAAATGAAAATCAAAATGTGCAATTTCAAAGCCACTAGGGTCATAAAAATGTCTTTACAATGTAGCTGAGTGATACAAGTCAACCCCCACAGATTCAGTGTCTCATCTGGAGATAGCTTACGTTGTTTGTGGAGGAAGACAAAAAGGTGTTCATCCCTGTGACAGAGATCTCCTTGGAGACAGGTTTAGGAGTGGACAGTGGCAGAGCAACTTCATGCTGAGACTGGTCCACAGACACTTGAAGTCCCCCAGTCTTTACCTTAAAGTCATTTAAAAGGGTAGAGAGGTCAAAATCTTATGCAAGGGCAAAGTGGAAAAAGGCCTCTTTCCCTGGAAACCTTGACAGAAAACAGTGACGTCATCTGTCTGGTGGTGACAACAGTTTTGAATCTTCTTGGAAAGAGAGAACTTTACAGTTGGTTAAATTGAACTAAACTTGGACAAGATAGTGAAACAAACCAGAGAGGTGCGAAGACTAGAAAATGCTTAGGTATTTCAATTAGCAAGGTGGACCCTTACTTTACTGTTGCTGCCAACTTTATTGGAATGTAAATTTGGCAAACAGAAACTTTTAAACTTTTCCAGATACGTCTGGAGGACAATGTCAATGATTTAGACAGTTGTTAAGAAAAAAAAAAAACAGAGAGGAAACTTTATAAAATGTCTGAACTTTTTCCTGGAAAGATTGTGCGAGTTGGGTAGAAAGTGCAAAGAAATATATGGAGCCTTGTGCTGTGTTCTAGTTGTACTCAGAAGTCACGATTTCTGATTTCCAATTCGGAAATTTATCTGGAACGCCCCCCTGAAGTCAGATTTCCAACTCGGAAAGTCTGACGATCCTCACCAACCCTGACTTGACGACAACGTCATTATTCAAGATGGCAGCGCAGTGCCTCAACAGTAAAGAATAACAGTGAAATCTCTCATAATGTATTATTTATTAGCTCTTCTGTTTTGTTTTTGTGAAATTAAATAAGTGGTATATGTTGTACTGCCCAATGTTTAGAGTTTGTAGAGTAAAATACCGTATTGTGCATTGTTTACAACTGGTATCACTAACAACTAATTGACCACTAATTGAACTAATGACCGCTGACAATGGCTAACAACAACTGACAATGGCTAACGACAGCTGACAATTGTAAACAACAGCTAACAACGGATAACTGTAGGCGTCCCTCTTGGTTTTCCGACTTGTTTACTGGAACGCTGTCAGCTCGGGTGTAACGTCATTCCCAGCCCTGACTTCCAAGGTAACTTGAACGCAGCATTAAAGCTTCTGTGAAGAAATTGTAGTTTGTGTTATTTTGGCGCCCCCTTCAGACTGACAATCTTCACATCAGAAAACTGCATAGAGATTAGAAGGAAACTTACAGTTGGTTTCATGGCAAGGTGAATTTGAGTACTAGTTTTTAACTGCGTACCAGTGTAAATGTACATTAAGTTTGTGTTTATTTCTGTATGTGAAGAAAGCATAAATGAGCCTCGGAAGCATTTGAAATCAGAACAGATGCATAAGTGGAATTACTAAATCTTTACATTTTTAAGGCAGGCTTTTCTCAAGCACACCTGCACTCAGTAAAAAAAATCTGTGTGTTTCAATCAGCGAAGATGAGTTGTCTTCTTTGTACGCCCTTAGTTAACAATATTAATCATGTTAATGGAGGATGTCATAAGAGTAATTAGCAAAGCAATAATTATCAGCATCATGATAGTGTCACACTCTATTATGGAGTGACGCTGTCAGTGTCTCAAGCAGCATACATCATTAATTTCTGCTGCTGTTGGACTCGCTGGAGCAGTTCTCTGTCACCCACATGTCTGGCTCTGTCTTTATGGAGCATTAACAGTCTGTTCTGTTGTTGTTCCTCTGGCAGTGGCTGTTGAGCCTTGTTGAGAGTGAAGTGTGTGTCTACATTAGTATGATGAAATATATGAAGGAGGGTTGTAAACATCTAAATGTTTCTCTGTGATTTACTAAACCGTTAAACATCTGCTGCTTTGGAGACAACTTGGAGGCAACTGAGAGATATTACACTTGACCTTCATGCTGTGAATCCACTAAAACAGACACAGACCAGATTTTGTTTAATCCACTCAGTGGTATAGACTATCAAAAAAGAGGTGCAATGCCATCAGCTGTTGGTTGCAAAGTCTAAATAGTAGTCAATTTTAAAGGGCTATTCCGGCGTAGAATTAATTTAGTCAAACACACCGTAACACCGAGTTAGACACCCCCCCCCCAAGAGATAAATGTTGGCGACTGCTTGCTTCTCATTTCTTAGCGTCTCGGTCTGAATGCATTTCCATGAAGAAATGATCATAAATATTCTTCCTCGAGCTGCATCACCCCGCAGCAGTCCATAATGGACTGGCCTGAGGTCTTGCTACAAACAAGCGGCTGCTGGAAGAGAGTAGGTTAGTTGTGTTTAGGCTCTTTGCTAAAGAAATCAGGCAAAGTTAAAAAGATGTTTGGTGGCTAGTGCTGTAGCAAGGACCCTATATGTACTGTTGATGAAGTTAGATGCCGTTCTGAGGATTATTTGTGGCTATAGAGTGGTGTTTTGGTTGAGGTTTGTTGATGGCTCCTCAGACTGCTGTGTATTGCTATCATGTGGTCGTTACTAGAGTTTGTATAACTAGAGAAGCAAGCGGTTGGCAACATTCATCTCTTGAGGAATCATCTAACTCGGTGTTACGGTGTGTTTGACCGCAAATTAATTTTATGCCGGAATATCCCTTTAAAGGAGACACTTTTCCCAACAAAACTAAAAATCTGCAAAAAGATTATGAGGCAATGGCTAAAGAAGTCACTCCCCAAATATTTTTGAAAATGCCAAACTCTTTGCCTTAAAGCTCCTGGGAAGAACTTTCAGTTTGTGTCATTTTTGGCACCCCCTGTGGACAAAGTAGTATTTGCTGATCTAATCCTGGGCATGCTTGGATATGGTCTATCACCAGAAACTCCTCCTGCTGACTTTTGACAGTGAAATATTTCATTCAGTGTGAATGTTTACTGTGTAAACGGTCAAAATAGAGCTGTTTCTTCAACTGTTTGTCTGACACCTACACCCGATCACACCAGTTTCTAGCATTAAAAATTAAATGCAAAAATCCTCAGTTGTGTCCCTGATGGTCTTGTTTGCTGCTGGATATCATAATAAAGCGTCAGTGTGGATTTCAGTCTTTTTCATAAACATCAAAAATCTCCCTATAGGAGCTTTAGTCCGTTTTTATGTTAGCTTAGAATTTATACCTTTTTTATCACCAAAGTTACCAGCAAGGTTATCATTACCTGCATTGTTGATAGCTTCTCCATAACAGCTAATGGTTTTGCTAGCTATGAATTAACTCAATCTAACAGGAGGGCAAACTAAGAAATAGGTGAATGTTTACATCCACTTCAATGATTATAAAGGCAGATTTGGGACTACTCGCCACAAACAGCATACACACCACACAGATATTTTTTGCACAGTGTTGTTCCTTCCCTCTTAATAAGAATATCTAAACAGGAGGACACCATGATGAGAACTTAGCTTGACAGGCGTGCAAGGTTGAGGTGTACGATCTGGTTCAACTGTGTGAGTGTTGACGGCCCTGGATAGTGGCGTAATCGCAATGTCTGTAAGTCCAAATTCCCTGCATACAGTATACAGTGATGATAAGAGTACTGAAGAAACTGGTTTGTTTTTCTGGATCACATACCAGCAGCGGGATGTTGCCGCTTGGACTGGAATCTTTCTTGAAAGGTGAGAAAAGGGAAGGCGAGCCTGACTGCTGGTCAAAGTTTGCTTCAGGCACCTGTACAAAAGGGAAAATACCTACTAAAAGGGTGAAACTTGATTTTTGAGCATTTTAGCTCACATGTGTGCTAAAAATTCAGCTCCTTTGGTGAGTCTACAGATACATAAATTCTCTATACAATCACTAATCTGATCACGCTAAGATCTGAAAACTGTGTTGTGGATGTTGATACTCACCTGTGATGGCAGCTGTAGCACCTGTTGTTGCTGTGGCTGTGTTTTGGTCAGTACTTGCTGCTGTTGAGTCCTCTGTTTATTTTCCTCCTGTTGCTTTGGTGAAATCTGTTGCTTCAGCTGCTGATGGCGTTGCCTTGACAGTTGTTGTTGCTGCTGTTTGTGAGATTTCTTCTTTTCCTCAGGAAGTTTCTGCAGGTTCGGCTGATTATCAAGCATCTGACTGCAGTTCTGAAATAACTGTTCCCAGCTCATGCTGTTGTGCCGCTGCTGTAGCAAATGCCTCTGTACGGCTTGGTGCTGGGAAGATCTCTGGGTGGTTTGCTGTAAATGTAGGTGTTTTGTTACAGTGTTTGTCTGATCTGGCTGTATTTTGAGATGAATTTGCTCCTGTACCTCCCGTGTTTGAGTCAAAGTTTGTGTAAATTCATGAGCATCTGGTACAGACACAACTTCCTCCGCTGCCCTGCCTTCCTGTTTGACCTCAATCCCACATGGAAAGGATGGTGAAGGAGTGGATGGTTGATCATGAAACAACAGAGGGTCACTGGGCTCATCGGGAGGTTCTTGTTTAACTCGTACAAAAACAAGCGGCTCTGGTACCTTCCTTTCTCTTTTACCACGCTCCAGCTGCATCTTCAGCAACTCCACCACTCTCTGTATCTGCCTAAGCATCTTAGATAACTCCTCTATCTGCTTGTCTTTTTCCTTTAGCATCTCGTCTTTGTCCATAGTCACTACTGGAGCTTTTTTCATAGCATTGGTGCCAGCTGATGAGACAGGGCATCGCTTTTGCAGACAGGCTGGCTTTAAAAAGAATTGACAAGGTGCTGAGGTGGAGCACATCTGCTCTTTTTTAATATTTGCTGGAAAGAGAGCAGCTGAACATGCCTGAAGGCTCAGCTGGGTGTGAGGTGAACTCATCTGGACAGAAAAAGAGAGAAAGAAAAAGACACACACAACAGTAAACCTTGAAATTCTATTATAAATAAGCACAACCGCCTGTGACCACTCAGCTTCTAATTGTGAGCATTAAATAGTGTACATCCATGCTAGTGCTAAATGCTAATGCCTGTACGCTCATGTTTGTAATAGGAGTGTAAATTTGTTCATTTTTGAGAAGGCAGCATTCAGTTGCTATTGTTTCGCTAACATCTGTTTGCTACAACAATGTTAACCGTTACTGCCAATGCCAGAGGTAACTGCTCATATCTTTATGCTAATGTTTAAAATGGCAGCATCAATTTGCTGATATTTAGCGAGCACCTGTTTGCAATTACAACGCTAACACTAATGTTCAGCTGAGGTCTATTAGCGCAAATGTTTGAAATGACAGTTTTAACATGGGGGTGCTCAGCTAATTTGTAGCTTGCCTGTTTGAAACAGAAGTGTTTCATTGTTGATGTTAAAGCTACTGTAAGAAAGTTTTGGTTTGAGTCAACTTTTGCACCCCCCTATGGACAAAGCAGTCATTGCTCATCATGTCCTTTAAATACTTGAGCGGTGTTTTTAGACAAAAATCTCTCCCTGCTGACTTCTGTCAGTCACACGTATCATTTCTTTAGAAATTGAATTATACAAAAGGTCTCATCTTATTGACAATGGTTTTGTTTGCTTTTGGATATCATGAAAGTTCATTAATGTGAATTTTAGTTCATTTAATAAACATTAAAAAAAAACTCATAGGAGCTTTAAGCAAACTTCTTTTTTTGGATGGCATGTTTGAAGTGACAATTTTATCATGCAAGTTGTGTTTTTTAATTTTTTTGTAAATTCTCATGTTAAAAATACCAAGTACTGCTGATGTTGAGCGAACATCTAAATATTTAATATTCAACATGATGATTTTATAATGCTGATGCTAAATGAAATGTCAGTGCTAATGCTCAAAATTACAAACTTATTTTATGCTGAGTTTTTAAAATTCCAGGAAAAAAGAGAATTTCTGATGTCTTAAGAAATTGTTATTTTGTATTAACTAAATTTGTTTTTATGTTATTAAGAAAATAAATATGGTGAATCAGTGAATCTTATTAAACTATGATAATGTTACAATAATAGTTTCATATTATATATCATAAAAGCATACTGCACTACATATATTAATATGGATGTGACTTATAGTACGTTGATGCCTGTTAATTTTACAAAAACTACAGTAAACTAAAAATTGTACTAAAATTCAGGAACTTTGTTTTTACTGGGTTGCAACTGTTTTGTTTTGTTTGTTTGTTTGTTTGGTTTTTTTTTTTAGTTATGAATTAATAAGACCAAGTGTAAGTTGAATAAAAATGCACAAATCCAAAAATTTGGCACAAATTTTGATAAATCCAAAGACAGACCTGTAAACAACATCAACTACAGGAGAAAAACCTCTAACCGTTTCCTTCGTTTGGTCACATTTAAAGCCGGTTTCTACAGGGCTCAGGGAGCCAGATGAGCAGTCAGACGAGGTGAGCGAGACAGATGTGGGGGAGAAAGATGCTGTGGTATCACTGCGCCCTGCAATACAGACAAAGATCATTCTTTGTCAAAATATGATCCATTATCTACACTATTTCCTGCTCTCTTTATCTCCAAACACTTGAATGCAGAACTGTTGGTGCAGCTGTGATTGAGTCAAACACCTGATTGGTCGATCTGATAGCGATGGCGATGATGCTGCTGCTGCCGTTGTGATGTGTTGTTGTTGATGATGATGGTGGTTGTTGCAGCAGTTTTGGAGGGTTTTCCTGCTTCCCTAGCCATCAGCCCTGTGGTGCCCCCTGCTGTTGAAGATGCAGTAGTGTCACTGCCACCCTTCAAATCCTGGTAGGTCTTCAGTCTTTCAATGAGATCAGTTTTGGTGCCAGAGACTGGCAAGCTGCGCAGCCTCAGCTCGGACTTGAGTTCTGCAACCTGACAAGGAGTAAATTGAAAGAAGAAGAAACAATGACTAGATTTCCTAAAGCTGCAGATACAGGAGTAATGAAAAATGAATTACCCATGCACTTAACAAAATAAATGTGCAGTTTTTGTGCAGTTAACCTTCATTTCATGCAGATTTGGTGGTAAAGATGCTGGTTTTATCTCCATTCGAGGAGCAGAACCCTGATGCTTTTGACTCTCCTGGTTAGAAGATGCAGAGACAGGTGAAAGTGAGGAGGAGGAGGTGGTAGAATCAGAGGAAGAAGAGGAGGATGATTGCTGATCTGACTGAGGCCTGATCAAGAGAAGCGAAGAATTGAACACAGAATTATCCCCTGCTGAAAATACCAAACCAAAAATGACTTCAAAAATGTTCCCAGTCAGTCTATCATGAGACCTTTTTTCCGCTCAGTTTTTTAGCTGCACACTGTAAGGCTGGTCTTTCTTAATTAAAAAAATAAACAAATGAATGATTACTTGGCTGTTGCAGGCAGGATGGCATGGTAGTTCTGCTGCTGCTGATTGATGATCTGGAGCTGCAGGACGAGCTGCTGCTGATGGACCATTTTGGCATAAGATGAGTCCAAATGGGCGGACGGTTCTTTCACTCCCTTCTGGTCAGGAGGGACATACTGATGGTACTTCAACTTTTTCATCTAAAAGTCAACACATTCCAAATATAGCAAATAAATATTTCAGCATCTAGTACTTCTTTTACTTTTGGCGGCAGTGTTTTTTGTATGTCAGTGAAACAGAAATAAAAGTCTACCTTTGGTTTGTCATCCTTTAGTTTCTTCTCTTTCTGTGCCGAGCAGTCAGAGTTTGATTTGAGCTGAGGCTAAAAAGAAAGATATTTGATTGTTTAATGAATCTGTAAACTTTTATAGGCAAGACAAGTTTATTTGTATAGCACCATCCATACACAAGGCAATTCAAAGTGCTTTACTGATGCAAGGACATTATTTGGAAATGAAAAAAGAGACTAAAACAACTTACAATCAATGAGACAGATAAACTTTTTCGTCTGTTCTGTGTATTGGATATTTTATACAATAATGTATGAAATTGATATGATTTTTTTTGTTTGTAATTATAGATGTTTTGTGTTACAACCATCAATTTTTTAAGCCTGTGTAGTTTTGTTTTCTTGGAGGATGTTTCGTACTTTACTCTGTGCTGTCACAAACGCCCTCTGATCAGATGGTGCCATCCCATTGGTCACAGTCAATGAAGGGGACAATAAAGAGGTCTATGGTGGGAAGAAACGGAAGGATGGACATGATGGGTATATCAATATTGGTGTCAGCTTTTATGTATATCATGAATAATTATAGGATAGAAATATGAGCTACATTTGCGGTTAAGAGAGTTATCTCACTACATGTATTCAACAGTAACTCAACCAAAGTTAGAGTCCCTTCTTTTTTTCATTTCTGATGCAATAATGTGCATCAGTTTTGATAGTATTATGTCAAAATAAAAATGAAGCAGCGCTGATAACACAGTCGTAAACCCTCATGCTTAATCATGAACTTCTCAGGTAATGAAGCTCTGCAAAGTCTGGTATTGATTATACTCGCATAGCAGTCATCTTTCTCTGCTCTACTGGTGTTAATATGCTGCATTTTAGCTTTGAAATTTATTTATTTATTTAAGTTATTTTTCATGAAAGGTGGTGTAGGCAGGATCTGAGGAAGTGCCAGTTTTGGGGAGAAATCGTGAATGTAAACACTACCCCTCCCAACCAGTTTTCCCCTCAGCTCCTCCTCTCTCCTTCCTCTCTGCTCCAGCAAACCCCGCCCACAAACAGACGCTCCTGCTCGGTCGTATCGTTTCAATTAAAATCAGATATAATGCAGATGAATACTTCAGTCAACGTGAAACCAAAAAGCATTGGTGCGTCTCTAGATGCCAACAGACTAGCAACAAACACAATGTTTGCAGGACTTCTACAACAAGGATAAAGTGACATAGTCCAGGACCCGAGGTAAACTGTTTAGCTGTGCTACAACACGCAGCAGGTCCCGTTTGACAAGAAACACTTCTCTTACAGACACTTGGCTTACTTTGTTAAAGCGTTTTACCTGTCCAGCAGAAAGGTTACAGGGTCTGTAAGATCCCAAAGCGTCTCCCATCAACCCGGCTTTTTAGCTCTTGTCCAGTCTACCTCCATTATGAGCGCCCGTTATTCCGCCAGATTCTCTGGAATTTACTTTGTTTTCTTTCTTGTGTCGGCAGTAGTGGCCAAAGGAGGATTCAGACAGTTTCTACTTTCTGGTTAGTTTCTACTGTCCGATATTGTAGCGCGCTAACTTTGTTTGGGCTCATGAACATTATTTAAGGATGTGGAGTCAGTAAGAGCGGGCTGCCCAAAAAATGTAAAATGTTGATTACACAGACATAACAAAACATAGCAATATCGTTATATTACCAAATGTCATCAATAACTAATAGCTATTGGTATTAAAAGCTTTTTTTGTATATACACTACAAAAAAGAAGCTTCTTTAACGGATTCCTGCCTACCCCACCTTTAACTCCAAGATTAATTAACATTTAAAACTTAAATGAAAACAGCAGGCTCAGTAACTCGTTTGACAGCCTTCTCACAATCAGAGGTTAGCTGGAGAATTTTAGAGGAGAACTTTGGGAAAAGTTTACAGCCTTGACTTTGCAAACATATAGTTGATGAAGCTCCTTTAAAGTTACCCTGGTAGAAGACGGGATGCTGCCTCCTGTCAGGATTTCAGGTGGAGAGGCCAGAGAAAACAGGACACATGAGGACTCAGGGTTAACTGGCTGTTCTGGAGACAGGCTGTAACCACTGTCCTCATCACATGACCGGTAACCACCAGACACCTCAGGAAGCTGTGAGTCTGAAGTCAGAGAGAGAGGCAGTTAACAGGACCTTTGGTAACAATGCAGAGTAATTTAAAATTTAAGCAACTAAACATCCCATTATCCAAACACGGTACATTGTACTGGTATATTTTAGAATAAAATATACATATTTAAAGGGATATTCCAGCGTAAATTTATTTATGGTCAAACACACTGTAACACAGATTAAGACACCCCCTCGGGTGATGAATGTTGCCGACCACTTGCTTCTCTAGTTACACCAAGTTTAGTAACAACTGCATGATAGCAATACACAGCAGTCTGAGGAGCCATCAACAAACCTCAACCAAAACGCCACTCTATAGCCACAAATAATGCTCAGAACAGCACCTAACTTCATCCAGGAGGTGTCTAACTCGGTGTTACGGTGTGTTTGACCCTAAATTAATTTTACAACATAATATCCCTTTAAGATAAAAATGACCAGTAAACTCAGAAAAAGTACATAAAAGCTAAAGTTTTCATGTCAGATCTTGTCAAATCTTTCTGTTGATTTCTTCTTCTGGTGTCACATAATCACTTCATTGGTATGCAGACATTTACAGAGCTTTGGAGAGTTAAGGTACCTGCACAGATCTTACACATTGAAGGCAGAGACTGCTTCTTTGCAGGCGGGTGTGTGTTATTTAATTATAGAGGCTTTTGTGGGCTGGAGCAGACAGCTGTATAAAATGACCCGCTGGTCATTAATTCAACATCAGCAGGTGATGATGAAAAGACAACATGGGGCTGATTTAGCAGCCTCAGATCCAATAATGTGATGACGTCCCTGCTGCTGCTCTGTGCCTGTGTGGGTCTGTGCTTGGTATGTTTGTATCTTTGGGTGTTAACTCTGTGTAACTCAACTGTAATGTAATTGTGGGTGTTTTGCAGCCGTGACAAAGATGGATAATCCTCTGACACTGTACGTTATTGAATCACAGCACTCTCCCCCGCACCCATCAATCAGGCAGCCGAGCCACTGTCTCTAATGTCCTCATCTAATATGAAACACAACCACCTCTGGACCAGAGCTGCACAATTAAATAAGACAGTTATTTTGCATGACTTTGTTGCTGGTGTTGTAAGGGGAAAAGGGTGAAATTGGGGGCATTAATTCTGTCGCTTTACCCAAATTGCTGCAAAGTGAGATCACATTCATTCAACTGTAATACTTAAGTTAGTATTTAATCCTCAATTTAAAGCATAATGAGTTCAATGCAGGCACTATGGGCGCTTGAAGCCTATTACCTAGAGCTTCATTGTTCAAGAAAGAACATTACACTATAGCTCAATATTTTCAGATCCAAGTGAGTTAACACTTGGAGAATAAACAAAAAAAAAGTTAATCAAAATATTAGATAAGTACGTGCATTTGGCATGTATTAGTGTTTCATAGTAGGAGGCCTCAATGCTGGTTGTCACACACCATTAAATGTATGGATGTTGGAGACACAGAAGCTGCTAGTGAGCTAGCTTAAGCAGCTAGCTTACTAGCTTTTTATGCTAAATTTAACTGTTAGTTTTAATCATTTCTCATGATAGGAAATGATTAAGCATTTCTATAAATTGGTGAATCCAAAAATTATGTCAGTGCTTGTGTTTCCTCAACTGACTAATTAATTGACATTTGTGAAATTTAACCATTTTCATTTAATCCCATAGCTTTCCATCTACCAGAGGTAGTACACTTTGAGATAAAAGCATAGTTTCAAGATGCAATAAATAAAGCAGCCTCAACGCAAGGTAGAAAAAAATGTCAAAGTGAGCGCATGACAAACACTCGTTTAGTGAGACATTGTCTTCTCCAAAGCAGTTCCAGTCACAGGACAAGTGACGTGTGTAAGTAAAAGATTTTAACATTATCAAAATAGATAATGACAAGTTCATTGTGCTTTCATCCAAAGTGACGTACAAAAACTTTTTAGTTAATAATAAACTGAGTTAAGTTTAGCAAGTAGTGTGTTTCTCCACCCTTGTGTCATTAGGGAATTATTAGATCAATGGTACAGTGTTAAAAAATGGGAATATTTAGTAATATCTAGCTATCAGATTCTAGATTGAAATGCTCCCTTGCTCCCCCCTATAGTCAATGAGGTGACAGGAGCTTTTTGACCTCAAAGGCCACCGTGATGCATGACAAAAATTATCTTAGATTTGTCAGATTTGTACTTTTTCAACTGTCTAACAGTGCAAAGACTTTTCCTTACAACAACAACTTCTTCTTCCTTCAGCAGTTAAAATGCAAATACCAGCTAAAAACAGTGGGCATAAATATCATGTTTGTAATCGATTCCTTCAATCAAAAGTAATTATTGTAAAGGATTTAACTGCTGGCCATCCAAAGACATAAAAATCATCCAAGATTAGGTGACTTTGACAGAAAATAGCTGCAGAGCCACTGAATTATCTTCAAAGATTTTAACATACTATTCTGACCCTCTGTGTGAGTGTGAATGACATACTGAACAAGTCTACAACAGGGCTCAGCTCACCTGTGATCTCCTGATTGACGCTGGAGGGAACAGGTTGGATGTTTTTGTAAATCAGCTCTGTGGACTCTAGCTGATGTGAGATCCTATCATCCAGATCATCGGTGAGGCGAGCTCTCTTCTGCTGCCACACCTGCCTGCCCTGAAGCGATGGCACTGCTGGTGTCTCTGGATGCAAACACAAACAAAGGAAATGTTTGTGCCAGTGTGCTAGGATGTTTCAGAATCAGACAGAGAGGTTGTATGTAGCACTTACCTCCTTGAATGTGTCTCTCCAGTCGAGGGCTCTCCGGTCTCTTCCTGATATTCCTCTTTGAAAAGTCTTCAGTCTGCAGAGAGAGTGAGCTATATAAGACAACCAGTCACTTTTAGACATATCATACATCTATTTTATCTTGATTGTGGTTGGTTGTGTGACCAACTGTTTTTACTTTTATTTATTATGTTAAACTTTGTATCCATTACTTTGGATTTAGGCTTTGATATTGAATCTGTTTCTTCAGCGAACTGTTTTGAGGTTTAATCTATTACTTATAGCTTTGGATGGTTATAGTCGATATATTTTTTTGAGTCAAATCAATTGGTTGACAATGATTTTGACACAACCACCCGACCAGTAGTAGTAACCCTGTTGGGAATCAGTGTTTTGGATCCAGAAATTGTGACCTGTTCAAGTTTTCCTATCTAGGCCATCTATCCAGCCTTGTTAAAGACATGACTGTTAAGAAGTTGGGGAAAGTAACTTAGATGTTACAAAGTCTTAAAAGAGAGTGGATGTCAGTTTGACACAGACCTGGTTTGACTCCAGTGATAAAATCCAAAGATGACTTACTCACCTCTGCTGGTTCCAAGCTCTGTTTCTCTTCATGACAGGCAGCTGAACTTTTTAAAGCTTGAAGAGTAAAATCAAAAAATAAATAAATAAATAAAAAAAAGGAGAGGAAAAAAGAGAGAGGACATTAAAGTTTATATGTCACTGTGTATGTTCACAGCAATAAGGAAAGTTTTGGAGGGTTCTTCTACTTCAACTTCTCTCTCCTCTGATTACCATTTAAAAAAAATAATCCCTGTATCACCCTTTATTCAACCAACTTCATCAATGTTTTTTGTTTGTCTAAACCAGTGGTTCTCAATCCAGTCCTCGAGCCCCTCACTGTCCTGCATGTTTTGGATGTTTCCCTGCTCCAACACACCTGATTCAAATGATCAGCTCGTTATTAATCCATTACAGAGCTTGATAACGAGCTGATCATTTGAATCAGGTGTTGGAGCAGGGAAACATCCAAAACATGCAGGACAGTGGGCCCTCAAGGACTGGATTGAGAACCACTGGTCTAAACCTACATTCAAAAAGTGTGAGCCCTCAAGTGTGCACTTCGAGTACTGCGGGTGGGTTGGGAGGTGTCAGTTGATTTTTAAGAGTGAATTTTTGCTTACATTTGTGACTCACAAATTTTGACGAGTATGTAAACTATCTGTACTTGCCCCCTTTCACACAATATCTCTAAAGCTCTTGTGAGGGACTTTAGGTTTGTGTCAAATTTGGTGCCCTCTGTGGACAAAGCAGCCTGCTTATCTTGTCTTGTCTAGTGGTGTCTTCTGATAAATGATCACATTCTAATGAGTTTGAAAGTTAAATAAATTATTTATTGTGAATGTTTTATGTGGAAATTGTAAAAACAGGGCTGTTTCTTCTGCTGAATGTCTAACACCTATCCTAGCATTTGTATTAGGTATCAAAAATCACAATATAAAAGTCTTCAATCTTGTAACTGATGGTCCTCTTTATTTGTATTTGTCAAACAAGCCATAAAATGAATTGTAATATTTTTCAGAAAAGTAAAATAACTCAATTTAGGAGCTTTAAATATAATTATATTGCAATAAAACTGCAAATTTTCAGTTCTCTCGAGCAGATGTTTTAACTCTGTGAATTGTGAAGTGAAATTAATGAACACTTCTTCCAAGTAAGAGGTGACGATGGCGGCTGAGAACACCAGCCCAGAGAAGATACCACATGAGCATGAAAGAGTAAACACCCTCAACTCCAAGCTGAGGGTCCCCACATTAATTTCCTAATAGGAGTTTAATTTAATCCAATGTTCTGGAAGTTACGCAGCAGAAATTGTGTTGCACTTCTAATACTTTGTGACTGCACACACACACTCGTGTTGTGACTAGATTAGCAACCCTCAGGGGAGACTGCTGGTACCTGCACAAGCCTGAGTTCACGTCACTGAACACTGTCAGACTGCTGGTACACACTCACTCCTGCCCAGCCCAGGGACATTAACCCTCTTAGACCTTTCACCCGTCCACAAGGGCGTAGTGTGGCCTCCTTTGGGGTGTGTGAACCTGCCTGTCAGTCAGGTACGTCTAAAATGAGTACCGAGACGACTGGGGAAGGATGAATGAGAGCAAATTTTGAAAAGTGGAGGAAAAATGAGTGAAAAAGGATGAAGAAGATGACAGAGAACCAGGAAACAGATGGAGGAGAGAGGAGATAAATGGAAGGAGGCAGCTGGAAGAAAGATGAAAAAAAAAACGGACCAAAGGGCAATGAAGAGGAGGAAACAGAGTGGTGGGATGAGGTCAGAGAGAAAAGACCCCATTATGTGCATGAGTGGCTGCATCATGGCTTCTTGCCATTCTGCTGAAGCTAACCAGCATCCCTCGTCTGTAGAGCGTGGGAGAGTTGAGGAGAAGCCTATCGCCTGGTCTGGCTGTGTTGTAATGTTCAGTCTGCTGCTCAGTGGAGGATTTTCTCTTGTTATTAGTTAACTTAAGGAACTACCCTGTGTTTGTTACTTGGTCATTCACACTATTAGCACCCAAAACGCCTCAAATAAACGCTCAGTCTAAAAAAAGCTCTACATCCTTATTCCTTTCAATGTTTATTTAACTTTTCAGTCGTTCTTTAACAAAGAAGTAATACAATTTCCACGACACCACTAGCATGCAGAGTAAAACTGCTGCCATGTGCACATCTAGAATTATAATCTCCTTCTGTTTTAAACCTGCTTTTTTAGAACTGGGTGAATAAAGATTTTAAAAATGAGGAAAATGAAAGAAGCAGGCAATAAAAAAATCAGGAGAGAAAGCGAGATACAGAGGATAAAAGACATTAAAAGAGGATTTTTTTTTCTTCAGATATTTAGCCAGGGATGCAGAGTCAGGAGTCATGGAGTTGTTGTGCTTTAGAGGTGACTACCTTTTCACATCGTCCATCCGCTTTCTGTCTCCACGAAAGACTACTTCAGTTATGATAAAGGTCACGTGACGCGAGAAAGGGAACCAAAATGTCAGTGGCTAATTGTTTCTCCATGTGTTTATTTTGACATTAACCACATACCTGAACCCAACCACCTCTACATTTTGATTATTAACACAACAACAGCCACCAGAATCCTTTATTAAATGAGCACATTTAAAGGCCAGAGAGGAAGTACAGTGAATAAGTGGTGCTGATTAGATCCTCAACAGGGTGGTCAACAACTGAGAGACGCCCTCACCAGCTCTGCTGCTGTTGCTTGGATTGCAGGACAGGATCTAGTTTAACAAATATCCTCAATGATTTTTGACCCGCTGATTTGAAATACTGACTGTAAAAGAACATTTTTACCACAGTATCAACAGGCAGGGGTGAAACGTGAATGCCTCTTTTTTATAGATTGGCTGGATGAGATATGGGTGTTAGGGTTGTTTTTGCCTTGCTATTGCGAATTACAACGTTGGTCCGGAATTACAGGACTTTTTTCCTTGAACCCTTAAACCCCACATGTTTGATAAGATTATGTATAAAATGTTTTGTTTGTTTGTTTGTTTGTCTGCTTTTTGCTGTATCAATTCTATAAATTAAATGATACAACTGCAACTTAAAATAAAAGTAAAACCCCCTCGCTTTGTGAGACCGACAACTTCGCAGTGATAAACTCTGTGTTTCCACAACACCCAGGGGTTTTTCTACCCCACAGGAAAGATGCTATGCTGGTCTATAATGATAAATCTTTAAGTTTATGCTATTTTTGTTGTTAGCTGGCTATGCTAGAAGGAGGCTGCCATCTTTATTTTGGTAAGTTGACCAATCAGAAGCTGTATCTATGATCAGCTGACCGGTCAAGTAAGAAGCGAGGGCAGCCTGACACTTTTTCCAAAATAGTACAGAACTCTTAAAAGATAGAGCTGTTTAGTAATGAAAACCAAAACTTACTTTTCTTTTATTCAATGTCTCTGTTTAATTATTAAATTCTAATCAAATATTTGATTTCTATTTGAAACAAGTTAAGCCTTTTATCAATGTTTTGGGTACATCTTATAATCAGGGTTGTTTCATATAAGGGTCAATATGGTCATTTCCATTGCTGCAGGGTTAATGAAGTATACAATGAATAAATTAAATAAGGAAAATTCATAATCTGAGCCTTGACCAACATATACCCCAACAAAAGTGGATATTATCTACTTACGTGTTGTGATTTCTCCATTGACCAACTCCTCTCTGGACTGTCTCTGTTTCAGCTTCAGCTGGAGGACTGAACACGGGAACCGAGACAGACAACAAAAAGATAAAGAGGCAATATGAAAACAAATAAAAATAAATTATATCTCAATTAGCTGCCAAAGAAAGACACAAGAGTGGTGACATTACTCAGCTTACAAAGAGCATCATATGAGCAGTGGGGGGTTGTTGGTAAGTTCAAGGTTCCCTGCAGAGATTTTATGTTCTCTGTTTGTTCAAACTGTTTCTCTGTGGTCCCCTAGCATGATGAACAAAAGTCAAGTCACACGAAAGTTATATATGAGTGGTTTTGTCTATTTGTTGAATTATGTCCTTCTTTAAAGGAAGAGCGTACTTCCACAACGCAGTTCAAAACAGTGAAATTAAACTCATGGGAGTAAAACTTCTGAGATCTCTTCCTGCCTCCACCTGTTCTTGTTCTGACTCACCGTGTCCTAAGTCAACCTCACATTTTCTCAGAGGACATATCTGCAAAAAAGTTTCTCCACTAAACTTCCAGAATCAAAATATGACTTTGCCAAGGAAAATGATCTCCTGCAGATCAGCAGCTCCTATATATCTGTGTCAGGGAATCAGTATTTGAGCTGTGTAGCAGCATAGTGAGATTGGGAACATTTTTAAGGGGTGGCTTTTTTTTTTCACACACACCCTGACCATCCACAGAAAAAATAATAATAATAGAGCACGCTCACATCTTACTACTGTAAAAATGTGGTCACAGTGTTGCACAGTGAGTTAAATTATTGTAACCTACAATAATGAGGTGCTGCACTGATTGGGTGCTTGATTGTAGTCTGGTGGGAGAGAGTGGAGACTGGTGCAGATGGACGCAAAACCAATATGGCGAGTGCTCCAGAAGAACTTGCACCAGTAACCAGACAAATCTGGCTTTGTACTGACTCATCGCTGAGGTAGTCTGAGGTGAGAGGTGTGGCACATAAGCACCAAACATAGCTGGCATGTTGTTTGTAAAAGAAAATGTATGGCTCTGAAAGAAGTAAATAGCTATTTAGCTAATGAATACCCCGCTATGTTAGCTGTAAATTGTGTTTTTCAGAGCTTTTTTGTACAGGAAACATCTGCCTGCTATGTCCAAACACACATGAAAGCAGACAATGCAGAATCATTATGTGGGAGGGTGATCAAAATCTTCGTTTGGCACTTTCATTTGACTTAAAACCAGCATCCACAGCTCCTCCTAAACCTCAGATTTACTGCCTTACCAAAATTTAACTTTTGTCAAATCAAATACAGTGCTAGTTCCAAACAAATGCCTCCCTACCACCCGCCTTTAATCTCACTTTTTCAGACAACAGAAGGAATATCTTCCTGGTGCATATGCTCATCTTTCCCTCTTTATTTAGCCTCGTTTTTGATTTTGAGAGCATGTTCCTCTAGAGAGCGAACAAGAGATGTATTCCAGTGTTTCAGCAGCATCACCCACACTTCTCTGTATCTGGAGTCTGTAATAATGAGAGCAGGCGCTGTTGCCTTGGCCTATTCAAGTCAGACTCAGCAGTCAGTCTCTCTGAGTGTCCTACAGTAGCCTGAGATAAAACATTCATCTTCCTTTGATTTCTATGATGTGGACGTTGCTGACGCACGACGGTGCAGTTTCCCCTCTTGGCAGGGGGAAAGGTTTAACTGACTCCTTCAGGCAGACAGAGGCAGACTATGAAAACAGAGTCTGACACGGATAGTCGTCATATGCATGCATAATATCTGTGTACAAATACGCACATTCAAAATGCACAAATATTTTTTAAAAATCCTGTTTTTATACCACAACTGTTACGCCCACGCAGACTCACACATACAGAGGGGAACTGACAGAATACTGTTTTTTTTCTGTTGATGATTTGTGCCAGGAGATGACAAGCAGTGATGCAATGTGCTGATACAGAATCTATTCTGGGAAAGTCTGCTCATCGCTAAAATGTCACTACATGACAGAGAGTGCACCGTCTATCGACAACACTGTCACGCACCTAAGTCCAACTGTCATGATCTAACACATCTACAAGTAAGAAGCTGCATTCAAGAGGATTCCCAGATTGGTTGTTCCAAAGGTAAACAAAACGATGAATACAATCCAACCTTTACTTCAGATCTAGGCGAAAATGACGCTAAGTGCTGTAAAGGAGTACTTTAATGAATTTAGGAGACATTTAAGCCATTGTACCCTTTAGCAGCAACTCAAATACTTGAATTTCCATAATTATAGATTAAAACATATTCAGCTTGCTGAATGAAAATCAATATCACAGTTGTATGAAGGGCTTTTAAGGCATCTTCTATTCTTCTTCCCACTTCTACTCCTGTTATATCTTTGCTTCAATCAGATATTCAGCCTAGACTCTCCCACAGTGCACACTCCCACTATGCTGTCCTTGGTGATCCTCTAAGGTCAATGCAGTATATATAAAAGTGATAATGGAGGAGAGACAAAGTTTTCTGACTTTGTATTTAACTCATAAGCCTTTAAATGACAGTACAATGCACACACTCTGTGAAAAGCCCTCCAAAGGTACAGTTCATTAAACTTTCTTTTTTGGAAGTTGATTCTATTTAATCCAACAAAAGCATTTGTCCAAGAGTGGAGGAGGAGACTACTTATTAACTTATGTAAGTAACCATTTTCATAGCTTGAAGTTGGAAGTTGTTGTTTTTTTTTCCTAAATGAGCATCATTATTGTCCACTATCTGTCCAAAAGCCCCACTGTTTCCTCATATGGTGACATGAGGTACAACTGACTTAACTTTGAAAGACAAATGCATCTTTTAACATTGTGGGCCTTTGTGAATAAGAAATACAGTCTGTGTGGACAGAAACATTTTTCTCTCATTGTAGTTTGAAGTGCACTGTTAAACCACTATCATTAAATGGTGATATGAAAAGACCGACAAAAGCCATCACTCCCAGGCTCAGCTGTGGTGTTGTGTTTTAGACTGTTACCTCTCAATGGAAAGATTCTGGGTTCAAATCCAGGACACGGGCTCTCCAGGTAAGCCAGGAAAGAAAAACACTTTGCTGTTAAACACCCAGGATCAACTGGTGACATAAAAAGGCTGCCAAAGCAAGCACTGCCAAACAGTCCTACATCATGTTAAGTTAGAAAAAGAGTTTTTATGATCAAGTCTGTATTTTTAGCTTGTCAATTTTTTGTCTTAGTTGATTTTTGTCTAAATTTTTGTTAAAGAAAACTAGACTGGGCTGCCTAAGCTTCGATATTGTGGTTTTAAGTTACATTAATTTCTGTCATCTGCTGTCTCTGTTTCTTTCCCCAACCCCCCTTCTCCTCCCTCTTGGCTCTCTCAGTTTTTCTATTTGTGTCCATGTTGTAAGCGTTGGGAACCGGATCTTTCTGGAGAGTCAGTTAAATTAAAATGAACCCTACTGTAAATTGCCAACACACACAAACACACAAGACTCGTGAGGGGTGAAATAGTTCAGAGGAGTCTGATCTACCAGGATATAATAAAAAGATTAACCAACTGTGTGAGTCTTAGCTTATGCTAATGGTTGAATTTCTGCATGTTACCTCAATTTACCTAAGAAGCAAGAATGAGAAGGCGCCTTAAAAAACTCTTGACTGAATAACAGCTTACACATGTTTGGTTTAGGACCACTTTTGTAAGAGAGAAGTCATTATTTGCACTTCAACAAGCAAATGCGGATACCAGGGCCTGAGGAGGGAAGAGTACAAGTCCTATGTTTTTGATATGCACACATGAAAAGCAGAGGCAAGGTAGCATCAGCAAAGACTTACAGGGAAGGTATGTATGGTAAACAGCAATATCATATATGGGATTATGACCCTGATCTGGGAGCTCTCAACCTTTCCTTGTGTGTACTTGGAATTCTAAAACCTGAGGTGGGAAGAGCACACATCTGCAACCTTTCATGAAAAGTCAAGGCAGGGAGAACAGCAGCAAAGACTTACAGGACAGGTATGGTAAACAACAATATCATATATGGGAGTATGACTCTGATCTGAGAGCTCTCAACCTTTCATTGTGTGTACATGAGAATTCTAAAATCTGAGGTGGGAAGAGCACACATCTGCAACCTTTCATAAAAGTCAAGGCAAGGAGAGCAGCAGCAAAGACTTAGAGGTTACAGGACTGGGCAGGCATACACAATGAACAATGAATCTGACAACGGTAAAGTCAGGCACAGCACAAAAAACAACAGTCGGGGTAGAGGCAAGTTGAAAAGCAGTGAGCAGTTAGGTCTCAGCAGAGACAATAGGCAGGCTAAAGCAGAGCACCCTTTTTTGAAAATGTTCTTTTGCTCACAGCTTCAAAGTGGCTCTCTGTCCGGTTTTATTTTGATACAGTACACAGGTTGCTGGGTTCATGTGCTCAAGGCAAAGCGTGCCTCGCCTTAACTGGCTGAGCTCCAACTGTAACCCAGCCACTTGAGGACCATCTGATCCACCTAACACCCAAGCCTGGTGAAAAAAAATTCAGGTTTGAAGATCAGCCCACAACACAAATAAGTCAATACAGTGTGTTATTTGTGTTTTTCACCAAAACAAAGAGAAAATTCTCTTATGTGGGCACAATTTTTACAGTTTTTTTCTCCCCAGAATAAACCACCTTTGACATCACTGCATGATCAGAAACAACTGCACATATATTAAACTTTTGAAAATATAATGCTTGACATAGAATGGTTAACTCACCCTCTCTGAGGCTCTGACACGCACGGCGCTCCAGCTCAAACTGTACAGCTCTTCTGTCTCTGTTTCTGCTCATTGATGGAGTCCTGAGAGGTGCAGGGTCAGTGCAGATGCAAGGCAGGTGTTCCAGTATGGCCGACATGAGCAAACCTGGATCTAAATCCCAACTGAGATTCAACAGACCCTAAAGGGGTTAAAAAAGAAAGTATAACACAATGCTGTTGTAAAGAGGTGCTGCACAGTTTTAAAAGCTGCAGCCGCAAGTGATAGTGTGAGTCAAATATCGTTGAATACATCATCCAGCAGTCACAGCTGTTGGTGTAATCAGTCAATCAGCTGACAGACACAAATACACACATGTACACATGCACACATTCTGAGCAGAGCGCCTGTGCTTCCTCTTACTGAGCACCTGTGATTTGAGCTCAGCATGGTGTCAGTGAAGTGCACCTGTGTGAAAAACTCTCTGTCGTCATGCCTTCGAGCCTAAAAACAATGCAATGACAGAAAAACACCTGCTGACACTCTGCATGCACAATTCCTGTAACGTCTTCTTTATACTTTTTTATTTGCATTTTTTTCTGTCTACTTGCTCAAATGTAGACAGAAAAATGACTTATTGTGATTTATCATGAAGTCTTCAATTCTTCGCGGGAATTGTTGAAAAATGTATTTGTGGATCAACCGGCATGTGCATTTAATTTTGAGACAAACGTCACACAGATTTCAAAATATGAAACATACTTGTAGTATAAAATTGTGACATGTTATTCTTGAAACAGTTAGTGGAATTTATCTAATGTCAGCCTACAGTTTTGTAAGAACACTTAAAAAAGAGTGAATTTAAACAGATTTTTTATTTTTCATCTCCATAATTTTATTACCTTATCACAAAGAACGCTACAAAGAAATTTAAGCTTTAAGTCAAAGTCCAGAGTTGTGTTGTATCAGTAGATTGTGATTTATACTCTAGCTAACCTAATGAAATGTTTTTACTCACTTTTATTTGAGGGGGGGAAAAAAAAAATTCAAGCTAAAAGTCCTGGGCACTTCACATTGGTAGCTCCTATTTGCCATACCTTTAAATACCTTTCAGATGATAAGGGACGATGGATCATGTTGTTATTAAACACCGATTATTCACAGATTATTTTGGTAAACATTTATGCAACCAATAATAAAACAGAAAATGATAACTTATTTTTGACTCTAGAAGATGCAATTAATGGAGGGTTGTCAACATTTCTATTTGCTAAGAATATCTGGGGTGGGGATTTTAATACAGTTATGAATTATGAAATTGACAGACTCCATACAAAGAATAAAGGAGAAATTAATGAGCTAGATAATGTATGTTATAGATTAAATTTAATTGACATATTGAGGCATAAACACCCAAGTGATAGAATGTATACATGGAGTAGCAAAAATAGATCCCTACAGTCCCCAATGAATTCTGCATGGTCTCAGCAAGCACAACTGATGATGTGGGGAGAACAGATATTGAGCCTACCTATTTACGGAACATAAAGCAATTTCAATAAGGATGAACTTGTCAAAAACACCAAAAATTAACACAGACTACTGGAAATGAAATAAAACACTAATTGAAATCATTACTTTTAAAACCAAATAAAGTCGATTGAGAAGTACTGGAGGCAAGCAGTAACAGCTAACCTGTATGGAGAATCCTGGGAGTTATTAAAATATGAAATTAAAAGATCAGCTATAGCATTGGGGGAAAAAAAAGTTTAAAACTACAAGAGAAAAAGAACTCATAACTTTTGCAAAAATGATGAACTTAACTGAAAAAGAAAACCCGTCTGAGGATGAGGCCAATCCATTTACTTTATGAAGAAAAAGCTAGAGGTGCTTTAATTAGATCCAGAGGAAAATGGCTAGAGCAAATGAGAAATGCTCTAAGCATTTCTTCAACCTTGAAAAAAGAAACGCTAGAAATGTCTTCTGTGAGCAAATTTAAATATTACTGGTACAATATGTGAAGATGAATCAATAATCTCTAACTACGTGGCTAACTTTTATGAAAAACTGTACTCCAGGCAAACTCTCGATGAAAAGCTAATAGATGTGTGCTGTCAAAATATAAATTACAACATTTAAAAAAATTGACAACACATTTAGACTTTTGGACTTGTGTGACCAAAAAATCCCTTATTATGAAATACCTCAAGCTGCAGATTTGCTAAAAGATAATAAATCTCCGGGAAACGACGGCATTACTGTTGAATTCTACAGAACCTTTAAGGATGCCGTAACCCTGTTTCCTGCATGTATTTTTGAAGAATAAATCACCAAAGGCAGACTCCTACCTTCTATGCAGCAAGGTCTTACAAAATTATTACCCAAGCCAAATGAAGACAAAATGAATAGGCTATAGAAAATTGGAGGCCAATAACCTTTTTTAACAATGATGTTAAAATATCTGTCTCCATCTTTGCACAGAGACTAAAGGTAGGATTGGGATAAATTATTGATGAGGAACAATCTGGGTTTATGGCAGGTAGAAGTATGATTAATAATTTGAGACTAATAACAGATTACAATGAATGGCTCAGGTTTTCAACGTCCACTTCACAAAACACACAGTTATTTGCTTCAAAGTTAAACCTTAATCTTTAAAAATGCGTTTGCTGGATAGATTTCGTTCAAGATTTTGAAATGGACTTCTTTTGCTCGTCCAAATCAAATTGCTTCAAAATTTACATCCTTTTAATTGGGCTAGGGTAACATTCGTTTACCAACATATTTCTGAGAGCTTTGTTGTTATATTTGCGATCACAAAAGTCTGACCCCCCAATGTAGAGTTGTCTCAATCCTTGGGAGACTGTGGAAGGCGGAACCAAGTTGTCCATAGCGTGTACAGTCTATGGTAGCGACGGGGGCGATTATAAGTGACGGACCAACATGACGGCGAGACAAAATGCATAACAAGTGCAGAGAAGTTGAGTTTTTTCTTTTAAATGACTGAAATTTAATAAGGGTTTCAACGCGTCAGTATCAATAATTATTCGAGACAGTTTTATGGTAATGTGTGACAGCTAACCGTGTGACTGTGTCGTTACCGTAGAGATAGTTTGTTCGTACCCACTGTCACTCGTGTTGTTTATTTCTTTAAGTATTTAAAATGTGGGGCGAAATTGACCCTCCTGTTAAACCACAACCGAGTTTTTGTCACAATGTTAAAAAGATCGAATCGTTAGAAGATCCAGTTGAAAGTCCCAGACCCGCAGACACGCTGCCAGACTCTCCGGTGAGATTGAACATTTTCTTAACCGTTTTTTATTTTATTTTATTATTATTATTATTAGTATTATTATTATTATTTTACATAGAAACGATAATGCTGCTTCAGTCATGTTACCTTTTCTTGTTTGAACTCCACAGCTTGGTTGTCTGACTGAGTCCGTCTGTGTAAATGCCATGATAGAGGCCGTAGCTCAGAGCAGGAGCCCCGTGAGGAGCCAGCAGATCGGGGAGGCTGAGCTCAGTCTGCAGGAGCGCAGAGAGGAGCTGCTGCAGCAGTACCGGAGCAGACCTCTGGTGTTCCTGGAGAGGTACCATGTAAGTGCACACAATTCATGGATGTTGGAAGACTGCAAAAGAAACTGCAAATGAGCAATAAACATGGACACACATAATCTAAGAAATGAGAATGCATGTAATGAACACTATAAACTCAGGGCGCTCCCAGGCCAGGTGAGAGATATAATCCCTCCACCTGGTCCTGGACCGGCCACGAGGTCTCCTCCTGCATCCTAACCAGATACCTGAGCCACTTCAGCTGACTCCTCTTGACGTGGAGGAGCAGCAGCTCTTCTCTGACTGCCTCCCGAGTGTCCGAGCTCCCTACCCTATTTCTAAGGCTGAGCCCGGCCACCCTGCGAACGAAACCCATTTCGGCCGCTTGTATCTACGATCTTGTTCTTTCGGTCATTACCCACAGTTCATGACCATAGGTGAGGGTCGGCACGTAGATCGACAGGTAAATCGAGAGTCTCGCCTTACGGCTCAGCTCTTTCTTCACGACGACTGATCGGAGGAGCGCAGAGAGCCTCCGCATCACTGCTGATGCCACTCTGATCCGCCTGTCGACCTCCCGTTCCATCCTACCCTCACTCGTGAACACGATCCCGAGATACTTGAACTCCTTCACTTGAGGCAAGACCGCCTCTCCGACCCGGAGAGGGCAATCTACCTTTTTCCAACTGAGAACCATGGCCTCGGACTTGGAGGTGCTGATTCGCATCCCAGCCACTTCACACTCGGCTGCGAATCGCCCCAGCAAGAGCTGAAGGTCACTGCTCAACAAAGCTAGAAGAAGCTATTTTTATTTTAAGATATATTTTTCATTTGAATGTGTACCTTACCTTATTAAGGTACTCCTGTGGTTATACAGTATTTATGTTTACATTTTATTGTTCTTTGAACAGCTGAGCATAATTTCATCCAGCCTGTTTAAAGAGAACTACTTGTGACATGACATATTTGGCTTTGACTGTGACTGAACGTTTGCTCTCACTTTGAGAAAACAATATCAGGATATATATCGTATATCGATATTCAGCCTAAATATATCGGGACATGACTTTTGGTCCATATCGCCCAGCCCTATTAGGGAGTATGATTATGATAAGTTCTTTAGGTCCTTCCCTGGGGAGGAAGCATCAAACACAAAGATGCACAATATCTTCAACAAACTGGTGAAAAAGGCTGGCTCTGTGGTTGGACTCAAGCTGGACTCGGTGGAGAGATCTACACTGAGGAAGATGGAGTCTATTCTAAAGAACATGGATCACCCACTTCACAACACCTTGATGGACCAAAGGGCCAATGGTGGTGGACGGCTCCTCTCTCTTCACTGAAGGACAGAAAGATTCAGGAGATCTTTTGTACCAACAGCCATCAGACTAAATAGTAGACAACTTTTAGAGACATTTGAGACAACAGACAATTGAATTTTGCTTCAGGGATTAATAAAGTTCTTCTTATTCCTATTCTTAGTTGGTATGTTAGATTCAGGAGGAAAGTTGTGCAAACAGGTGATGTGCAAAACATGAAAAAAAAGCACATACACACATCCCGTAATGCTGGAGATTTTGGAGCATGACTGATAATTACTGATAATTACAAAAGCGATATCAAACTCAGGACGGATATGTTGTCATTTACGATGAGAAAAACAAGTTATGCAGGAAGGATGCTAACAATTTATCTCCCCCCCCCAATCTTGTAGGCCTGCCTCAAGCCCCAGAACCTGCAGGCATTTACCCACGTCAGCTCAGACCCCAGAGCTCAGCACTACAGCAAAGTGATCCAGAGAAGAGCTGCGGCATGCACCAACAGGACCAGGGTCAGGAACCAGCGCTATGGTGCTCTTAGAGCTCTGCAGAGAGGTTTGGCCATTTTCAAAACAAATAATGTATTATTTGAAAAAAGTTAAACAAATTTGATGGCAAATTAACTGGGTTAAGAAAACTTTCGGGCCCATTCTGGACCCATTCCTGCATCTTTACATCAGTTTTAGTTCTGTTGTTTTACGTGTATTAGAAGTTCTTGAATAGTTTGTAAGACTTGTGTTCTGTTTTTCTCCTCGCCCTGTCTTGTAGAGGGTCAGTACTTCAGTGAGGAGCAGATGCGGATCAGGGAGCCGCTGCTGTACGAACAATACATTGGACAGTACCTGACTGATGAGGAGGTAAGTGCATGAAAGGAGCAAACATATCGAGAAATAGGGAAACAATCCAAAAGGTCAATTTTTCAGATGGGATCATAATCATGTGAGCTTTTTGATTTTTTTTTTTTTTTTGAATTATTAAACAAGCATTTAAATTATCAACATCCCCGAAACAGTTTCGACTCTGTGTATTTGCTCTCCATGTTTGTGCTGCCAAAGTCCAGACACTGACATTGTCTTATATCTTTTTGGTAATGTTTTTAACACAATGTTTATAAGAAAAAAATCTGAGGACTAAATTAAGATTTGAATATTGTTGGTATCCAAATTGGTTTAAAAACGTCAAGAAAAAAAATCAAATCATCTCTTAAAGGGTAAGACTTGATACGGTCATTGGAGGGCTGAATTCTAAAGAGTGATGCACAAGCATTTTGATAAGACAGCTGTTAATATGTAGCTGTTAATCGAGTCTTCAGTTCTCTTCAGAGCTTTTCTGGAAGTAGTCACAGACCTGCTGTGTTATGTAGAGTCCAGATAGTGGCGCTTATTGTAGTTGGGAAGAGAGAGGAGAGAGGAAAAGGAAGTGATAACATGAGAGCAGCCTTCATGTGAGTTGTCTTCACTGCCAGACACACCCCCTCTTGAATATCACTCACTGATTGAAACACACATCCATGACTAAACAGCCAGTCTGTGATAAGCTCGAATAAAGTCTCAATCTCTTTAGATCCTCTCAACTCTCTACACATCTCAGGTGGGAGGAACCAAGATGAAAAGAAAGACATAGCCAGACACTTCTCTCACAACATAAATGATGTCAAATGGAAACCTACTCTGGTGGTTTCAGGTGCTCGAGCGCTCCCAGGAGGCCATGCAGGACGATGCACAGGGAACACCAGCAGGGGGCGCAGGAGGCCTTGCTCATCTCCTCCTCAACTCCTACCAGGAGCGCCTCATCCAGAACCGGCTGCAGGAGGAGCAGGAGAGAGAGGAGGGAGCACAGGAGGAGGAAGAGGAGGATGAAGAAAATGAAGGTGAGTGCAGTAAAATAATTTTATGTTTCCTTCAACGCTTCCCCTTTTTGGGTTTTTCTATGTATTGCTAACTATCTCCCACAGACCCTTCCCTTCAGCAGAAAAGATGGGAGCCAAGTCCGGAGGAGAAGGCTCTGCTCAGGGAGGAGTTCATCAGTCAGATGCATCAGCGCTTCCTGGACGGCAGAGACAAGGACTTCAACTACAGGTAAGGTTTAGTCTAATTTAAGCTCATTCAGACACGGTTGAACTCTGTACTGATCATCTGCACTAAGCTTTAAATGCTGACGGTTAAGTTCCTCTCAGTAACGCTACAATATATAGAGAGAATCCTTGGAACATCCTTAAGTAGTTATAAAATTTAAATAAATAGTCAAATCAGTAAGAGATCTGACATACTTTTGCGGTTTTTAAAGTTATCGTATGTGTCTATTACAGCGAAGTGGATGAGAACCCGGACTACGACAACTTGGACATAGTAAGCAGGGATGCAGAGGATAAATACTTTGATGAAGATGATGAAGAGGATGATGAAGAAGAGGAAAACGACACAAGAGAAGTAAACATGACAGAGTAGAGGCTATGGACGTAAGGATTACTGTTCAACACTGACTGCTGTCTTTGAGCTGTAAATACAACTGTACAAAAAGTGCTGTGTGTTAAATGTTTTCATATGTCACATAAATGCAAACATGGAAATAAATGTCTGAGGTATTTTTTTTTTTAAATTATCCTTTTTTTTTAATCTTCCTTTTTCACGTCATGTCCTACACTATGAAACGGTCTATAGAGCATGTAACCTACTTCACTGCAGTGAAAAAAACCTTTATGGAATTGAAAACAGTGCAAAGACAACATATCAAAAGTTCTGAGACATTTTTATTAGTTTACAAAAATATATGTCTTTAAAATTGGAACTTGCAAAAAAAAAAGAAAAATGGAAAAGAGAACAAAACACCAAACATTTATGATATGCTGATAAAACACCTTGAAAAACATCCCACAACTAATGAGGTTAATGAACAATAAGTTAGGCACACGACAAAGTTTAAGGATAAAGATGGGGGGGTAAAAATGGGACGACCACTTCACATTGTGTCGGCAAACAATCTCTTTCAGAATAGTGTTCCACAGAACCAAATAACCAAGAGCTGAGTTTGAAGATTACATCGTCAGAAAATCTGAAATAATCTCTGTACCATAAGGGACAAGGCAGCAGACCTTCACAACCTCAGGTAGGACTGCATTGAAAACAGATGTAACTCTGTAGTAGAAATCACCAAATACAGTTAAAAACTCCCCGCCATAAAAATCTCCTCTAATCTAACTTTATTTCAGGTAATCTAATCTAATCTTGGTTCTTTTTCTGGTCCTTAATCTTCCGTGTGTAGTATTCCTCCTGCAGCTTCAACACTTTGACTTGCATTTTTAACTTCTCCCTCTTCAGTTCATCCAGGTCCATTTTATCCAGATTACAGTTTATAGGGAGGTCAGGAACTGTACCTGCCACCATGTCTGAGACCTGGGGTTCCTGTGAGGCTTGAAAAGATCTGTTGGGATAAAGAAATGTAAGATTGTGAATGAAAAACAATAATGCATCTTTGTTTTGACAAATAACATGACTGTAAACCTTACCTAACCAACTTGATAGTTTGTGAAAAGGGAGGAGTGTCTGTGTTGTTGAGTTCACACGCCACTGGCGTGCTTTGGGGTTCCACGGGAGGCACATCGCCTACAAACAGATGTAAATGTTTTTTTTTTGCACAAACATGAAGTTAATTCTTTCATAGTTTCTGAAAAACATACCTTTCTCCTTTGTGCTTTCTTTTCCATTTTCCCCACCAGGAATCTCCAATTTCAGTTCTTCAGAGAGAAATACAAAATTAGAACAAACACTGAATCTAATCTTTAAAATAATAAACTAGCTTTGCATTTCAAGAACACCATTATTGTAAGTGATGCTAACCATCCTCAAAGCCTGGGTCCACATCGTTCTTTCCATCGTCTGCTTGTTCACCATCTTGTGGTAAATCCTCCTCGCTCTCTTCTCCATTAACATCCCCGGCTGAGTCTGACACCACTGAGGGGTCTTCATCTGCTTTTGGAGTGGTGAACTGTCCCTCCTCTTCATCTTGTGGGTCCACATCTTTCTTTCCGTTATCTACTATTTCCCCATCTTGTGATACCTCCTCCTCACTCTCTTCTCCATTAACATCTCCAGCTGAGACTGACGCCACTGAGGGTTCTTCATCTGCTTTTGGAGTGGTGAACTGTCCCTCCTCTTCATCTTGTGGGTCCACATCTTTCTTTCCGTTATCTACTATTTCCCCATCTTGTGATACCTCCTCCTCGCTCTCTTCTCCATTAACATCCCCGGCTGAGTCTGACACCACTGAGGGTTCTTCATCTGCTTTTGGAGTGGTGAACTGTCCCTCCTCTTCATCTTGTGTGTCTTCACCTACAGCGTCACACTGACTGTCTTCAGACACAACATGACAGCACATTTCAGTTAGAAAGTGATGTAATGAAACAGAAAGTATGATGAATGATCATGAATGATCGAACAATGCTGCTCACACACAGAGCTTTAGACTGAATCAGAACTGAGACAAAGTATCTACAAACCTGCTTCTGAGTGATTTGTGCTGTTGGTCAGACAATCCTTCTGTGCACGAAAGGAGAACACAAACAAGTAACCATGAGAGCAATTTAAAACAGGATTGCTTAAATACGACTCAGGGCTTTACAAAAATCCTGACATCTGCATCCCTCATATTGATGCAACTCAAAACCCACTATGAATCAGAGACTTCATGTCTTTGTACCACATTTATCTATAAAACCATACTGTACATATCTAACAGCATGTACTTAACTACATACTTGTATCAGCAAGTATTGATAAACAGCTAAACCTACAATGACATAAGTCACTTACTGTATATTAGTTAAAAAAAAAAAACACTTTCCTACATATTTGTACACCTTTTTACCAGTTACTTCATCTCTGTAGTCTATTAATTCTAATAACGTTTGAGCAAGGACCTGTATCAACATGTCTGCATGTTTCACAGTGTACAGGTCTATCTCAACAAATCAGAACATCATCAAAAAGTTGATTTATTTCAGTAAACTCATATATTATAGATCCATATATTTCAAGTGTTAATTTCTTTTCTTTTTGATGATTGTAACTTACAGCCACAACCATCCCCTCATTTTTTGTATTTGTGCACAATTCTTCTCTCTCTAATCTCTAATGTCTCTCCCCTTTTCCCTCAATGAGCTGGTTGTCACACTTACCTCCGAGAGTCTTTTAAGAACAACTATTGCAACCTTCCTCAAAACAGGAGTCAGAATTTTTTCTGGACTGGACAGTTCTGTCTCTGTTCCTGAAAAAAAAAAACCAAGAGTAAAATTCATACTTTTAAAGAGAAACATTTCCAAAACTGTCATGTGTCAGAATAATGTGTATAAATGTATATAGAAGTTATCATCTTACTCAAATTCTTATGTAAGAGTTTGCTACAAGTATGAACTGTTTTAACCTCTTGTTACACATCAGTGTTTTTTAACTTCTCTCTCCAATAGCTTTATTACACAGCACAAGAACGTTTCTTAACTTCTCTGTGACCTTGTTTCTCCTATCAGCAGGTGTGTGATGTATCCTCCACTGTGAATCGTGGGAAGTAATGAGGAGGATCCGCTCTTATCAGAAGGAGCTCGTTTGATGTCAACAATGTTGCCTTGACCCTCACATATTTTCTGTTGTTCATAATTATGTTTTATGAGAGTGCTTACGTTGCTGCAAATAGTTATCCCCCACCCTTTAGTAACATTGTGTAACCAGGGACAACCCTAAATAAAAGAGACTGGACAGAAATACCTTCAGAATGGTTTTGAGATTGTAACTGAAACTATCTCTGTCCATTCTCCTCGAGTAAAAATCTAAACCATTGTCTTTCTCTTCTTTATGTGTTTTCAGTCGTTTGGGCAGGTTTAGACCCAACACATGACAGTATTAGCAGCAAAAGCAGCCAAATTCTCACCTTCCACTTCTCCACTTTCCATTTTTTCTTCCTCCTCTTCTGAGTCTCCTCTCTTGCTTTCAGGCTCTGTGCTCTTCTCCTCTCTTGGCACCACTTTATCACTGTCTGGCAACCAGTCTTCATCTTGAGCATCCTCCTCCTCGGCGTCTTCTACAACAGTTAGCGACTTACACTCTTTAAGAGGAACAAAATAACTTAACATGTACACTTAATGAATTTGAAATGCTGAACTTAACAAGCGCACAGCTAATAGATGCTTTGAATTCTGTTACAGCTGTAGTCGCAGGAAAGACAAACCTTCAGAGGAGCTGTCAGATGTGTATTTTGAAGACAAACTTTTCTCCTGCTGATAGGATAACGACAAAAGACAGACTCAACATCAGTGTAACGGTTGCTTGAATGTACTTAAGTCCACATGAGTTTGTATTCTGACATTCAGTTACCTTTGAAGCTCCAGTCTCTTTGTTTTTCAGTTCTTTTATGATTAAGGTACCTTGCTGCAATGATGGATAATCACAGGAAGATTATTTAGGATGTCTGCTGATTTTTTTCAGAAATACAGAAAAAAAAATCTTACCTCAATCCAAAACCGCAGAGGTTTATTTTCATGACGAATACTTGCTTTCCAATTTTTACTCGAGCCTCTTCCCCCAAATTTTTCAAACTCCAAAGGATAAAACCACTGATCCTTACACTTGATACACTTTTCACCTAAACAATGTCACCACACAGGAACATATAATTAACAAACAAATCAAACAAAAAAATGTGCATCAGAAGCAGCAAAATGAGCAGTGATATGTGTATGTTTTTTTAGACTTACCGCTGTTACACTTCTCGACGTAAAAGATGCCTTTTATGTTCCCACAAGTTACTGCCAAAACTTCTGGGTTTTGTAGGGATTGCTCTGTCGAGAAAGGAGTTGCAAACATGTTTATATTGAAGCATGTTCAATAGCAGGACACAGCAAGAAAGTATGTCTTTACTTTCCAATCAACAGCAAGGGCCAAAAAGGGCAAATGCTGAAACTTGAACACTTTAAATCTAAAGTGATAAATCTAAACAAGTGATTTTCAAACCATCTAATTAGCATTCCAAGCTTTTTTTTTTCCCCCAAATTGGGTTTGTTGTTTTTTTTAAGCTGTTTTGGTAGGTAGTGCATTGTGACTTACTTCATCTAACACAAGGGATGTGGGCATGTAGTTAACGACACAATCAAATGCTGTCCCTCTCAAGAATTACTGGCCAGCTGAACTAATAATTCACATTTTTAAAATTGTATGCCTGGGCTATAGCTCCAGTTATATTGCCATAATGCTTTAATAGTTGAAAGTAAACAAGCAAAGTGAGTGAAACACGTATTGATCTAGAAAACAGGGATAAAGTTGTATTTATGCTGAGTCTGATTTAACAACCGTTTAACCACCAAGCTTTAGTAAATGCTCAACCAGCACAGATGTACTTTAAAATTCAATTATCAAGGAGAACCAATGGCCAGTGGAGTTAACTCTACTAACTGTAGCTACAATTAACCCATCAGAACCACTGTCATACTAAACAGATATCCAGATCCAATCACTTTCATTTATGCCAAAAGAGGTGACATCACAGGGGCACCACTTTAACATACTTGTAAACAACCAAGATGGCAGCTCCCACTGGTGGAGGGTCCACTGTTTCCACTATTCCACTATTTTAAACACATTCAATTACGTTTTTTAATTCAAACCAGAACTTCTACTTCTTCTTCTTCTTTCTTACCGCTTTTCTCTTCATCCTCCTCTTCTTTTTCATCATTATCACCATTCTTTTTATCACCATCATCTACTCTATTCCTCGTAAATCTGCCTCTCTTTCTAGCTCTTAGGCTTGTTCTCTGCTGCCGACGACGACGGCCTTTTTTTACTACTGCTTCTTCTTCTTGTTCTTCTTCATCAGAGATCGGTCTTTTTTCCATTTTGAGTCCCAGTTAGTCCCTGAACAGTTGAAACAAACAAAGAAACAAACCATTAAATTCTGATGTTATGATGTTTCACTTACAGTATGTTTCAATTTTATTATACTCACCTTTTTTTTCTCCTCAGCAAACTTTCTTAAGGTTAAGGACTGAAGTAAAATCTTTTAATGTTTGACTTATTCATTTATTTTTTTGAGAGTCCATTTTGATTCAGTCTGACCCTTCTGTGACTTGAGTGACAAGAAAATAAGAGTCAATATTGTTTTGTAACCATTGTTTATATTTTCTTTTTATTTCCTTATTTTCCTTTATCTCTTTCACACAATTTAATTTTTATAATCCTACATCCTACTCTGCAGCTATTGCAGCAATCTGATGGCTAAAACACTGAATATCTAAACCCCACTAGTTTCATCACACACACTTAAACAAAAACTCTTACTGAACATTTATAAAGCACTTTCTATCATGCATAAAGTGAATAAATTACATTGTAAACTCTGTTTGCTGTTTGGACTGTTATAAGTAATTACTTACGTCTTTCTTTGTGCTTTTATGCTTTTTGGGTCACAATATATTTAGCCTAAATGTTTGATCAACCTGAGGTGTTTTTACCATAGTCTATGGTTGTTACACAAAACTTTTAAATTTCAACTTTGCAATTTTGAGGGATTTTAACAAGAGAGGTCTGGTTGCAGGCCTCCACTGTCTGCAGCCAGACTGTATTGATTTTAACGAGAATGTAGATGTAATCATCTTGACTTCTCATAAAACCCCTGTTTTTCCAGTGCAATTAACAAAGATGAACTCCTTACACTCCATACCAAACAAACTACAGCAAGGTTTCAGTGTTAAGCTGTTCAACCTACAACAGGACACACAAATACTTTTGAGTTAATAAGAAATTACAGTTGGAACCCATGAAGCCATTGTTGGTTTCCCTGATAGTCAAATTCCCCTCTTTTTTTTACCACTACTTTCATTCATTCATGGTATCAGCTGTTAACAACCTTTCCAAAGATTAAAACATGTTGCTGCTTTCTTGGCGCGTGCATCCTGTGGCATGCACAAGCCCCACTGCGATCATAGACATATAGGGGAGAGTGGGGTAAGATGAGCCATTTTTCATATTTCGGATCACTACATCAAGGCAATCATAGTTTTGTCTCTAACTCGTGTATCCGCGTATATTTCAAGATGTTGTGCCTCCCCGCAAACAAACAGAATGAATGTAAACAGAACTCTTTAGATAATATAGCATGCCAAAAAAAAGTGGTCTCCTATGGTCAACTTATCCCAGACACGAGGTAAGTTGAGCCGTATCCCTACTACCCCCTACTCTCCACCCCAGCCCAGCCTCACCTTCTCTCTCCCTAAATAACAGTCACTTCTTCACATTCATGAGTATTTTTATCTATTATACCCTATTAAACTGGTACAATAATTCTTTTTATCATTGCGTATGGGTCAGTGACAAATATGGGTTTGCATCATCAGTAATTCAAAAATGTTTAAATAAATAGTTTTAAAAGTTTGCATTAGGTTTGCAAAGATGTATATTTTGTATTTCTGTTGGTTTCCTATCATTTCAAACAGCACTTAAACCTTTTTTTTTTACAAAATAAATGATGGATTTCCCTTGAAAATGTCAAGAGGTGTAACCACCATAAAAGGGGAAATATTTAATACTTATTTCCACCTATAGTGTATGCAAGTGTACTTATAAAAAAAAGGTACTTAATTATAATATATCAGTTGAAAATACATTTTTTAGGATTTTGTTTACAAAAAAATTGGATGCATTTTTGCAATATATAGCAGGAGGAATGCTGAAAACTTTGGCCTAAAAATGTTTCCTTTTTTGAACAAGTTGAAATATTTGGTACTGTGTTTACTTTTTTTGGTTACACCACATTGACATTTTCCCCATTATTCCCTAAATATTCTCTCAAAATTGATAAAATCCAGAAATTTCAGACAAGGTCTTCAAAAAGAGAATGGATCCAAGTAATTGGTGAGTTTATTTTTTAATTTTAGCTTTTTAAGTAAACCATAGGAACAAAAAAAAAAACAAAAACTGTCACATTATTGGCCCACAGCTGTATTTTGAAAAGAAAAGTAACACATTTCAACAATCTGAACTAAAACTCTGATCCTCTCATCACACTTATTTACTTTCTCACTTGAACCACTGGCTCAACTCACCCCAGAACTACTTTTATGACTTTATTGGTCCTCTAAGCTAAAATGGTGGACTTTTGTGCTAGGTTTTGACCTCATGTTGCAGCTCATAGATACCACAGTTGATGTATAAAAAATGACCTTTTTTGATCCGAACACAATTCTAATAAAACTTATGACAAACTAAATTCACTTTCAAGGGCGGAAAAAGGTTTTTTTGGAAATAAATCTCTAACCCCTTCACCCATGTGCTTCTTGCCTTCACAGACTCCATGAATTGATCCCCATTTCCAAGCAACAGGAGGTGGCTCAACTTACCCCAGTCTCCCCTACTATTTCAACTCCTTGTCGCTTTCTGATGTTGGGAAATCGATGCGAAAGTAGCAGCAATAAGATAAGAAGCAACGAGAGGTTCAATTTCCCATGAGTGGTTATAGAGGCTGACCAACAGCCTCTGAGGTAAAATACCCCCACGTCGTGTCCCACTCATAGATCCAGACTACATGCCGACTCTCGAACATCAAGTAAACATCATTTACTCTCCGAGTTTTTCCAGCTGTTCTGACTGATAAACGATCCTCACTAGATTCATGTTCTGACTATTAAATACATGGGTCACAGAAATACAGAGCATGAGTAACAAATCTTTAAGAAGTCTTTACCTTTGTCGTACCTTTTGTTCTTTGCAGCAAGTCTGACGACCTGGATATCGACGATTCAGCCCGGCCATGGAAACGACCGCGCTTCAAGGAAGGATCCTTGTTTCCTGACAGTGGCACCTAGCGGACAACTGTGTAACAGCAGCCAGGACACTTTTGAACCTAATTCCCGTCGAACGTCACTTGGACATTATTTAATATTTTTAAATGGATATTTAAATTATTATAGTGGAGTATCGGGGCCAAATTCAGAGAAAAATGAAGATTTGTTTGAAAATTTAATAATTTTCTCAGATAAATACAGACGCTGTTCTGCAAAGAGATTTATTATGAATTAAAAGTACACTTGACAAAGGTATAAATATTCACTATCTAATGTGAAATACAAACTCAAAAAGGAGAATTACAAATAAATACATGAAGTATAACACCAGAAAAACTAAAATTCCTCTCTTTTTTTAATCTCTAGTTTAAAACACTCCTTTTCATGAAACTACTGTTACTTTTATCATAATTATTGTTGTGTTTTTTATGATTTGTTTATTCATTGTCATCATTATTATCATTGTTTAGTTTCTTCCTCTTCTTTCTTCCTATTATTATTATTACTATTATTATTATTATTGTTATTATATGCAGACTCTTTGGCCTGATGCAACATGAATATGGGAAAAAGAGCAACACAAGTGAGACTCTAGACCAGAGGGAACAATGGAGGGAAATGGAAGGAAATAAGTGCAACAAAACATCCTCATTTCCAGCAGTTTATTTTCACTTGATTTTTCTGCATCTGGATTAATATACATCACCAAGAAAACATCAAACACAATTAACATCAAAGTTGAATTAAAGTAAAATGAAGCAAGAGAAAAGGGGGTTTAAATCAAATAAAAGATACAAAGCAATGTTATTTGCACTCCTAACTTAACTATATATAATTACAGTGACTGAACATCCGTTCCAGAATTGAGTAATAAATGTCTGATACCTAAAGATGCAATGGCATGTCTAAATTTTTTGTTTTGTCTTCTGAAGCCATGACAAAACTTTGGGGATAGATGGGATGCCCCAGACAACCCAAATCAGAAAAAAGGGTGCCAGGAGAGCCAACACATAAAATACTCCCAGAGCCAAACCAATCAGAATCAGAATTAGCAGGAATAAAATAAAAATGAGGTTCTCCATCTTAATGGGGCTCCATCTTCTCTGCTTCTCTGCATCTATCCTGGATGTGTCCTCCTCTTCCCTCCACAGCTTATTCATCTCCATCTCCAGCTCTTTGCCCTGAAAACGCTCCTGCAGCTTTCTCTCCTCGCGTTTGATCTGATCATTTCTCTCTGCCAGGATTTCCTCTTGTATTTTCCTGATCATCCTCTCCTCTTTTGGATACAGGTCGGTGTGATAATACGCCCCTCCATTCAGGGCCATGAGGGTGTAGATCTTTGCAATTAAGTCTGTTACCTGTTTCTCGTCTTCTGGTTCCTTGTTGTTAAAGACGTGGTAGCCACCACCGCACTTGCGGATGAAGTTACGGAGGTTTTCATTGCTCTTAGATATGAGCTTGTTGATCTTTTTTCCTTCCAAGCGATCACCATGGGTGAACAGCACAATGGTGAAGTCCCAAACTCTTGGGCCAAACATTGCTTCAATCAGTGCCTGGGTATTTTCATCTTCCTGGGTCATGCGACCTATAGGGACTACAAGCAGAAAGACATGGGGTCCTGGCTCCTGGAGTTTGATGGTCTTCAGTATCTTTCGCATTGTATCTTCCCTCTTACATTCCTTTTCAAAAAGGCCCGGTGTGTCAATGACAGCCACTGGTACATCTTCAACCTTCCCAGTCTCGTCCACAGGGACATCTTTGACTATCCTAACCCCCTTCTCACAGTATTGAGTGACTCGCTGAACGCTCATGCTGGCCTTAAACTCATGTCTCCCGAGGATGGTGTTCCCACTGGAGCTCTTGCCGACCCCACCCTTTCCAAAAAGCATGATCCTCAAGGGCTCTGTGAAAAAAAACAAAAAACAAACAGGTAGGATACATTTTAGTTTAAAACATTTTTATTCTTGAGACAAAGAGAACCTAAGTATACCAGGTACCCTCATCATTAGTGTGGTAGAATACCATGTTAAAAGCTAGTGGAACATGACCCTCTCAAAAGGGTTGCTGAGATGGATTTTATACCATCAGCAAGTAAAAAAAATCACATTAACTGGCAGATGAGTGCATGAAATGACACAGGATAAACCGAAATTATGTAACTTTTCCACTTTCAACTAATAATTTGATAATCATTTCTCACAATTATTTAAATTCTGAAATTCAGAGATTACAGTTTCAAAAATGAATCATGCGAGAGCCTTAATGATTATAGATCCACATAGAAAATGTAAAACAATTTTAAGATGAATGTTTAGTTTACCCTCGAAAAATATCATCATAGTTGTTGTATTTGTTGACTGCATCTGTTGGTAATGAATAGAGGAGAGAGGGGTAAGACGAGCCATTTTTCATATTTAAGATCACTACATCAAGGCAATCATAGTTTTGTCTCTTTTTGTCTATATGTATCTACATATATTCTAAGATGTTGTGCCTCCATGCAAACCAATAGAATGAGTGTAAACATAACTGTCTTGATAATACAGCATGCCAAAAAAAAGTGGTCTCCTATGTTCAACTTACCCCGTATATGGGGTATGTTGACCATGGGAGCGGGGTAAGTTGAGCCGTATCCCTACTATCCCCCACACTCTCCACCCCAGCCCTCCCTCACCTTCTCTCTCCCTAAATAACAGTCACTTCTTCACATTCATGTGTATTTTATCTATTATATGCTATTCAACTAGTTCAATATTTTTTTTCATTATTATTGCATATAATTGCTGAAAAAGCTGTTTTGTAAAAATCCATTTTAACATGAGAATGTTTTTAAGTGATTCAGAACATTCACAGCTGTATTTTTGAAAAGAAAAAGTAACACATTTCAACAATCTGAACTGAAACTCTGATCCTCTCATCAGACTCTTTTACTTTCTCAGCTGAACCACTAGCTCAACTTACCCCATTAACTACTATTATGATTTTATTAGTCCTCTAAGCTAAAATGGTGGACTTTTATTCTAGGTTTTTGACCTCATGTTGTAGCTCATAGATATTACAACTGATGTATAAAACTAATTTAAAATGACCTTTTTTTGGTCTGAACACAATTCTAATAAAACTTCTGACAGACTAAATTCACTTTCAAAGGTGATTTTTTTTTTTTCCTTGGGAATAAATGTCCAACCTCTTTACCCATGTGCTTCTAACTTTCATAGACTCCATAAATTGATGCCCATCTCCTAAATATTTGGTCACATGATCGATTTCTTTACCCATTTCCAAGCAACAGGAGGTGGCTCGACTTACCCCACTCTCCCCTACTACATAGGTTGTGGCACTACACCGAAGTAAATTCCTTTCAGACAATGCAGTTCGTTCAACGTTTGATAGTTATGTTAGGAGGGAAAGACCCACACCGTCTTTCCTTCAGTAGGCCCACTACTCACCTCTTGGCTCCTCTTGTCCTGCAACAGAAGTGCTTTCTGAGTTCGCGGCAGCCATAGATTTAGCTTTTCTGAAAACTAACTACCAAAACTGTACACTGTTAGCGTTAAAAGGCGTATGAAAGACACACTTGTAGCTTAGCATTCGGCACAGTTCCTTCCCAGCTGTCGGTAAGTGAAAGTGAAAGTATGCAAACACATACTGTAACTGCGGGACATAGTGACAGTGTTTTTCCATTGTAGCAACACAAGAGTTGAGCAATGATGTGGGGGTTTCAAAATATCTTTGAAAAAAGAAGAAGAGAAGAGAAAAAAGAAAGGCTTACATGATTAAAGACAGTGTAGCTTATCCAAAACAGAGCAAAAAAAAAGCAGTCGAAGTTCAGAGAAAACAGCAGAGGTTTGAAAAGGATGATTAGATTCAATAAAACTGCAAACAGGAGAAACTGATTCCACAGTATTCCTCTCTTTTGAAAACCTCAGGTCTTTCCTTTCTCTCAGGCAGGGATTTTATTTCATTTTAGACTCATGCAATGCCAATCTCACAAAGCCAGAGGGCCTTACCTTGGTTATAACAGAGTTCTAGTTCATGTTTTTAAACCAGTTAAATTCACTATTTTATTTAATGTAAAAAAAAAAAAAAAAGCTAGTGTCGAGCCCTGCATTACCTGAATATAAAAGGTTTTTACTTAGAATAAGCCTTATGGATCTCCATCAAAGCAGTTCCCTTTTTAGCAAGTGAGATTTCTTGCATCATTGTTTGTCTACAGAAGCACAGAACAAATAAAGTGGTAACAGCAGCACAGTAGCTGGAAATGCAGCAGCTGGAAATGGCAAAAAAAAAAAGAGAAAAGAATAAAAAATGGTGGTTGATGGTTTAGGCAAAAGAATCCCTACTGATGGTCAATTTTAAAGGCAAAAACTTGGAGAATACTACCTATCATGACTCATCCATTGTCTATGGATCTTCATCTACAGAACAGGTGAGCAAAGTATTGATTCTATGTAGAATCTGACAGCTAGATTTACCTCGATATGCCCACATCTACACCCTATACATCTAAACATGGTGCACCACATTATTAGGTTACCTTCTAATTCTTATCCGACAGCTCGTTCCACATGAGAGCCAGATGTCTGGTGAGCTCGCTGTCAGAGAGGTCGGGCCGCTCCTGCTGCAGTTTTGGACGCTCCTCCTCAGAGAAAATGAACATTAACTTTAACTTTATTTGGGTGAGAGGCACATTTTTATTCATTTGCGGCTAAACCAAGTGCTTCAATCTCAATTTGAGTTTCCATGGCAAATATTATTGCCATGTCACTATCAGAGCAAAGGTTTTGTTGCAAAAAAGTATCAAGAAACACACAATTTCAGGCAATAATGTCTCTTTATTGAGTCCATGTGCAGATTACAATTTCATTTTCTCACATTAAATTTACTTTCTGATTAGCTTCAGGTCCTATGCTATTGTAACCAGTGTTAAGAGTTGTGTTTACTTCCCACTGAGCCATAGACGGCTATTAGATGTCTATTTTTTTTAAAACCTAATTTTAACCGTGTACATTCTGTATATTTTTAGACAGAATTTTGCACTTTTAACCATTATTCAATAACAATTTATTTCAAAAGCAACTGTGAGTTGCATAACTGACTCCAAGTACTTAACCAAAATAAGTGTAGTATAGATATAGCCCAGATTTAGACTTAGTCTAAAGTTAGTCTAAATTTAGACGTCTAAAAAACTTTCATTTTTAGACCTGTGGTTGTCTGATTTTAGACCAGTCGTCTAGGCTACATTTAGACCTCTTTTAGACCAAAAATGCTCAGTGGGTTGTACTCTAGGACACAGCAAAAATTCAGTGAGAAGCAAAGTGCATCAAAGCTTCGAACATCCTCTAAAAACTAAAGCAGGTATTGGAGCTTTAATGTATCAGGATTAACGGAACCAGAAAGAATGGCATCATACCCCCTTTATATTAACAGGAGCAGTTTTTTTTTTACATTTACAATTGATCACAAATGCTCCCATTATTTTCCAGCCAAGAAGTAAAATAATAATTAAAAAGAACAAACCTATTACAGTTTTTACTAGAAAGTCATTCTGGTATCCTGTGATACATTCAAACTCCAGTGAGGCTAAAGGCCAGAAAAATCAATATGTTCATTCCTGCTAAAAAGTCCTACTTGGTATTTCGGTGGTCAACATACAAAGCACAAATAACGGATACCACCAATAAGACACCAGCAACTGGTTCACAAAGTATCTTGTTGAAATGTTGAATTCTGATATGACTTCACCCCATATGGTTTCCTTCAGCCTGACTTGACCCTGTTTGGTAAAAGTGCTGCCCAAGAGGAGTGTGCTCACTCACTTTAATCTCTAGTTAAAGCCACGGGTGACCAACACGTCTCAGGTGGCTTAGAAATGACAACAGCATCGGGAAAAGTCAACAACAATCCAGAGTGGCTGAAAAAAAATCACTGCATGACAAACATGAAATAAGCAAACAAACCAGGAACTGTGAACCAGATCAGCAAAACCCACTTGTACTACTGAGAATTAACACAGCAATTCGAAACAACCAAAGTTTCTCTTAGGAAAGAAAAGCAGCGCAGTTTGTTCTTTGTTGTTGCACAGAATAAAGCAGCACCAGTCTGTAAAAATGTTAGTTTCTTACAGCCTGTTTGATTTGAATTTACCATTTAAATTTGAATGGGGAATAATGGGGATGAATTGAATATCTTTTATTCAGCCAGCCTCAAGTAGCCACTTGAGGAGCTCTGTGCTTCATTGTTTTTACATTTTATAGTGTTGAAAACACCAAAATATGTAAAAATATGTATGGTTCAACTAGAAAAATGAGCAAAGAGTAAAGAGACCAAATGAGGAAAGGTAGTGTAATTCATTTGACGTAGTTACATCTCCAGAAACTTTAAACACGTCCAAACTGAAGGTGTCAGATTGGGCTTTCTTGCATTTGACATCACACTTGCCTGCCTGCTGTGTCTCTCTGCTGCGCTCTGTCACAGCCACTACACTACTAACACTTCTCATTCACAGGCAGACAGATACTGATGTTTGTGAGGTCCTTTTGGCATGTAGTAAAGACACAATTACATTTATGTCTTATGTTTACACAAAAAAAAGAAAAAGAAAAAATCGGATTATTTGGTGTTGCTGATGGGCCAAAACATTAAGTACAATTCAACAATCTGAATCACGCTCCTCATTTAGGTTCAGGCTGCTAGTAGCTCACCATAAACCAAACTACAACTTTATCACGACTATATCTCATGACGATATAACTTTAATCTTGTTAAAACAACTTCTGTTTGACATTTGCTAGCATTGTATCAGAGTTTAAAACCCTGGTACTAACTCTACAAAGAACAGCATGTTTTGACACCTCTTCTCTTGGCCAATCATACAGGCTCGAATGGATTCCGTGTTGAGGGCTCTGGAGCGGAAAAAAGTGCCATTGCAAGAACTATCACGATTACGGACAGCATGAATTTAATAATGTACCAGAAGTAGCTGTAGTTCTTACTAATCCCCTTTTCTGCAATCTGCCGTGCGTTTTCCTCTTCTCTCATCAAAAGTGCGTTCTTCTTCATCTTCAGCTCTTCCCCCTTGTGATTTTCTTCCAGCTCTTTCTCTTTGTCCCTGATTTCTTTATCTCTCTCTGCCAGAATTTCTATCTGCCTTTTCCTAATCTTCTGTTCATCTTCAGGATACAGTTCAGTCTTGTAATATTCCCCTCCATTCAGGGCCACCAAGGTCTGGATCTTTTTTATGAAGTTTGTCACCTGTTTCTGGTCTTGTGGGTCCTTGTTGTTAAAGACATGGAAGCCGCCGCTGCACTTGCGTATGAAGTTGCGAAAGTTGTCGTCACTCTGCTTAACAACGTCGTTTATGGATTTTCCTTCCAGGCGATCCCCATAGGTGAACAACACGATGGTGAAGTCCCAAACTCTTGGGCCAAACTTTTGTTCAATTAGTGCCTGGGTATTTTCATCTTCTTGAGTCATCCGTCCTACAGGGATTACATAGACGAAGGCATGGGGTCCTGGTTCCTGGAGTTTGACACGCTTGAGAATCTCTCGCACAATTTCATCCTTGCGCTTGAGCTCAAAAAAGCCAGGTGTGTCAATGATAGTGACAGACAAATCTTCAACTTCCCCGGTCTCATCCACGGGGACATCTTTGACTGTCTCGACTTCTTTCTGACATTGTAAAGTGACTCTCTGAACACTCATGTCTGTCGTAAACCCAATTCTCCCAAGGATGGTGTTCCCACTTGAACTCTTGCCAGCCCCACTTTTCCCAAGAAGCATGATGTTCAGTTTCTCTGTAAAATAAACAGACAGGAATCAGTTAGTTACTCAGAAACTGATTTGATTACCCTTTTTCTGGGCCTGTTTTCAAAGACTTTCTTATGGTATATCGCCACCATTATGAATGTTCTAAAACCGCTAAGTTGTTTTTAATTGGATGTAGTCATTGATTACTGATTAGTATCTTGCCATATTGCTGTAATAATGCAAACTGCCCCTTTGTGCAGTTTGTACAGGGTCTAAATAAACATAATTGTCATGTATGTTCAACAAAAGCAGCAATAAAACATTGATCTGCCTTTTATTTGTTGTTGTTTACTTACTACTTATTTATTATTGCTAAAAAGGCTCACTATGTATCCACCACGAACTAGGTCTCTTGAAATTTAAATACATAAAATATTTATGCAAATGATTTTGATGTAGAGGGCTAGACTTCCTGAGTTGATTTGGCTTAGCTTGCTAAAAGGAAGTTCAGCAATTATTTAATAACTGTTGGTTTTGTCTGATGGCGCATTAAAGCCACAGTCACCTTTTCAAAGATTTAAAATCCTTTTCAAAGTAAATAAAGCCATTTTATCAGGAGAAGTCACATTAAAATTATTAACATATTGTTACAAAAATAAAGCTGTAGCTAAAGTTGTAACATATCATGAGTATTAAGTCATGTTGTGAGAATAATGTGTTAAAGTCATGGTTTTGGTTTATGGTTAGCTGTCAGCTGTGTCAAAATGAGATACGTGAAGTGTATCGTGCGGTCGATTCTAAAGTTGGTATAAGTAGAGAAGCAAGCGGTCGGCAACATTCATCTCTCAAGGGGCGTCTAACTTGGTGTTACAGTGTGTTTGACCCTAAATTAATTTTACGCCAGAATATCCCTTAAAGATGTTGTTGATAGTTTGGCATATCAACAACACACTGTTACAAGTATTTAGAGTGTGGAAAGTTTGTTTAAAAAATTAGAAGTATGCACAACCTCAAAACACTATAATGCTGCTAACAGTTGACTTTATAGGTTCTGAATTTGACTTTAGAGAATGATTCAGAACAAACCTTTTGGAAAAATTTTAAGATATAAAACTTTATTTTCACTTCAGTTTAGGGCTGCAGCTAATGTTTTAAACACTAAATATAAATGCCCAGGCTCTTTATAGAGAAGAGTAACGTGATCTGAGCCAAAAATACCTACAAGCTATTAGGATGTAGTACTCTGAATAATAAGAAGCCATGGTGGCCTTAAAATAGCCATCATTTACATTTTCATTCAGTTTACAGTGTAAAGGAGTTTCAAAGTAAGGCTTTTGTTGTACTTTCCTAAAACTAGGCCAACCTCTGTCTCTCACTTCCTGTGTAACTTTGTCAACAGCCGCTTGAACACGTGTGATGTAATATAGCCGAGTCATTTTCCAATAACACAAAAACTAAGTTAAAGCCAAGTTAATTTTTCAAACCAGAGACACTTACAGGTTGCAGCAGAAAGACTGCAATTTCAGACTTACCTATTTCCTGCTCTTCCAGCTGCGCGCAGGGCAAGTTTTCAGCGGCCATGGCTGAGTACATCTTATCACTTAAGTACACAAAGTACAAACACAGTACAGTAACCGCTGAATTTTGTGGGTACTATCGCAGTTTTTCAAGGGCTTTTTAGATTTTCGTCTCGACCTTATCGAGCGTCCCTCCTGCTGCTGCTGCGCCGAAGTGAAAGTGAAAGTATGCAGGGAGTGCGTGACTCTTTCTGGGCAGTTCAGGGTTTCACAATTTAAGAGGTCAGGGGGTTTTAACAGTGTGCTTTGTTCTCAATAAACGGTTAAACCTTTGTATTTCGAAAGGAAGTTCTTTAAAATGCGAGACTTCGTTCAATGAGGGTAAAAAGTAGCTACAGAAATCTGCCTCTTTTTGACAGGGGAAACTACACGAGTGCACATCTAAGCCCACTCAAGAACATGAATGCAATCGTAAGGCGCCATCTAGTGGCCAATGATTGTCCTTAAAGAAGTGTAAGGTTCTTGATCCACAATGTAGTGTCTAAGAAAGAGCAAAAATCACAGCACCTGACACATCAAGTGGTTTCACAAGTGGCTCAAGCCTTGAGTTAGTGGGCGCGGTTATCCAAATTTTAACTCAAAATCAATTAAAGTTGAAGATCCAATTGTTTAACAACCACTTTAACCCAAAATAACAGACAAATAATTTTTTATCTCTTCAATAATACAGAAATTTGGACTTTTAGAGACAAAAGATGGTTGAAGGAGAAAGTTTTTATTGGGTCTTAGTGTTGTAGAGTGTTCAGTGTGTACAAGAAAATGAAAAAACTCCACTTTGATAGGTTAAGAAAAGTGTAAAGTTCATATGAACCCATAATGTTTAATTACATTATGTACAAAAGGGTCAAAGCCTCTCAGATTGGGTCATCTCATTGTAAGAGTTGAAAAGTGTCATGGTTTGCAGATTGGGAAAAAGAAGTGTCCTCTTGTCCAGCCTGTCACCCTCAATCACTTCCGATCAGCCAGTCTCTGAAGGAGGGCGATGACTGTGTCCTGTTTGGAGGACAGCAGCTCCAGGGCTGTGGCTATCCTGCCGAGAGACTCCGCCATCCGAACCTCCCTCCTCTCTCGCCTCTTCTCTCTGGCTTCCACCCTGCGGCGAGCGACCCGATCCAGGTAGGCCTGATCCTCCTGGCGCTTTAGAATCTCCTGGAATAGAGTGATGCCTGAATGCTCCTGGTTTCCCCTCTGGCTCTGACCGTCTGCTCCTGGCAAAGCCTCTGCAGATAATGAGGTGGACAGAGGTGACGCAAGGCAGGAGGAGGAAGGGGGTAGAGAGGTGGTGAGGCTGAGGAGGTTCTGATTGTTGCTAAGCGGGGCACTGCTCAGGCGAAAAGGGATGACGCCTGAAGAGAAGGACGGCGCTTTGCGGCTTGTGTAGCGTGACGTGTGAAGGTCTGTGTTAGTGGTTGAGCAGAGGGAAGGAGAAGTAGAAGCTGTCTCTGAGAAAACTGGTGCAGAGATGAAAGACGGAGATGGCACAATGGAAGCTGGGTGAATACTTGTTGTAACAATGTCACTATTGAGGACAATCAGCGGCTTGAGCTCAGGAGCATGTGTTGGGCTAATCGTCGCTGTGGTGATTGAGGTAATGGCAGCAGTGCTGCTGATGGCACCTTGACCCACTGAGGCCACACTGTCAGTCAAAGCAAAGTCCCCATTAGGGCGTATGTTGGTGGCAGTTGGTGGAACCTTCGGTTTTGCAGCTATCTTTGCTAATGGACCAGGTTGTGAGGAGACAGTGTTTCCCCCTTTGTGTCTTTTGTTGTTGACGATCTGGGTGCCGACAGTGTCGCAAAGTGTTGCGTCCATTAACTAGAAAGAAAGAAAAGAAGACAGAAAAAAAGATAAATAGCAGGATGCATGAACAATAGGCTTCCTGTGATGCTAATAATAATAGACCCAAGGACGGGGCGTCCTGTGTTAAGCAGTTTTACACAACAGTGTGAGGGATATCTGATGTAATAGGCATTATAAAAGGACTACTGGGATGTCACTCTGTGGTTAAACTACATCCAGAACACACAAAGTATGTACAGTCCTTAAGCTCAAGAATCAGCATCATTTTCCAGTGTGAGCAAAGAGTGCAAAACAGAGGGACTCTGTGCTCTGTACAGTCAGACTTACATCAAAAAACTCCCAGGAAGTCTTAGCGTGTCCCGTCTCACGGCTGCGGTCTTTGACCCTCTTGTACGTGACGATGAGGTTGTTCCACTTGCGCCGGATCTTTTCCACAGGGAGCACATGCCCCTTGGAGGCCATCTCTTCCTGGACACTCTGAAAGAGCTGGGAGCGCTCCCGGGTTTCATACAGACCCCAGCGGCGGCCGACTGCCTCGATCAGACACAGAACTGCTTTGGAGGAGAAATCTGAGCCAGAGGGGAGCAACTTTTCTGAAGGAGCAGGAGGCATTGCTGAAGCTGGGAAAGGATACAGATTAATTTAACCCTTGCTGGAGATTTCTGCTGCAATCAAAACTCAGTACAAGTACATATATGTTTAAGTTGGGCTACAGTCATAGCTCAGCTCAGCAATTTAAATGGGCTACTGTAAATATCTCTGTATACAAGCATCAGATGAGCATTAATTTAATAACTAAGGTATGTCTGCCTGTGTTATGGCAGGTAGCACTATGCTCCCTTCAATTAAAGGGACATTCCGGCTTAAAATTAATTTAGGGTCAAGCACACCGTAACACTGAGTTAGACACCCCCTCAAGAGATGAATGTTGCAGACCGCTGCTTCTCTAGCTATACCAACTTTAGGAACGACCGCAGGATAGCAATACACAGTGGTCTGAGGAGCCATAAACAAACCTCAACTAAAACACCACTCTATAGCCACAAATGATGCTCAGAACAGCACCTATCTTCATCAACAGTACATATAGGGTCCCAGCCACAGCACTAGCCACCAAACATATTTTTAACGTTGCCTAATTTCTTCAGCAAAGAGACTAAACACAACTCACCTACTCTCTTCCAGCAGCTGCTTGTCTGTAGCGAGACCTCAGGCCAGTCCATTACGCACTGCTGCGGGGTGACGCAGCTCAAGAAAGAACATTTATGATAATTTCTTCATGGAAATGCAATCAGACCAAGACGGTAATGCAGAAGAACTACTGCGACTGCAGTGCAAAATGATTAATATGATGATTATTACTTCAAGAAAATGATATAGAAATTATCATAAATGTTCTGCCTTGAGCTGCTTCACGTTTATGGATTATAGTTTAATGTGCCGCTGCAGTCTGTAATGGACTGCTGTTGTGTCAGTCTTCCGCGTCTTTCCCCCTGAAAGTCGCAAATCGCATTGCGCTTGATATGTAGCCAGGCATGTCAAAATTCGCCTCTTAACATGTTGTAATTTCACGTTGCATATTTGTATATCCTTTATCTGCATCCATCGAAGTTTTGTGCTCTACAAGCACCATTAGGTCTTGGTTGTTACCTTACAAGGTTCAGCATGCAAATAAAGTTGTCAAAACTGGGGCAGAATGAGGTGTACACATCCAAGAAACAAATTATAAGTATTGTCGCTGATGGTCTGGTTTACTTTCATAGGTCATAAAGAGACGCAGCTGCAAATTTCACTTTGTTTCCTAACTGGTCAAAAATTCCTTGCAGTAGCTTTAATAAACAACTTTCGCTGCCCAAGATTGTGTTACATGCAGATTTAAGTCAAACGCAAAAAGTCACGCATGATAGTTATTGAGTTAAAAGATTGGGAGTCACAGACTGCTCACCTGGAGCTATCTTCAGGTAAGTTTTCCCATCCCCTGCTGTTGTGAAAAAGCGGTCTGTGCTCACAGGATCTAATAGAAGGACAAAAAAAAAATCATACAGTGGATTAGATTTCTGTTGGTTAAATCTTTAGAGGATAAAATGACCTTGGTTGAACCTGTTTGGGAAAACTTCATTTGTTTGCAGCTCCAAAGATGGACCATTTGGGAGAGGAATTATGTTTAATAAAAAATAAAAAAACGAGATGATTGACAATACAAGTCCAGTCAGTATTAATTAAATGCTTCGTGAGGATTACAATGGGTCACAGAAATCGTTTAAATCATTTATAGCCTAATACACACATGGTGCAGATTGTAAACAGTCAAATGCAGGGTTATATTGCACACTAGACCTGGCCGGTAGATTACACCGTTTATGATAGCTGTGTGTATTTGAGTTGGTAAAACATGCACGTATGCTCGCAGCCAGTAGGCGCTTGAAAGTAAACACATAAACCGACAGAGCCACGTGAAACATGGTTATTAATGAGCTGGAGTCTGCACTTACACAGCAGCACAGGGGTAGTCGTTGCAGCTGCATGCAGCTCGTTGTCAGCCAGCTCCTCTGCAGCCTGATCCTCTCCTCCCCCTTCTCCTCCTCCTCCTCTGCATGCGGTATCTCCGCAGGGCGCAGGCGACTCCTGACTGCCCGAAACCAGCGCAGATGTGGACTCATCGACAGCTTCGGTCTTCACATGCATCGCTGCGACGTCGCCGCTGCTTCCCTGCAGATTTACATCCATTTCTGACGGGGACACACAAACATGAGCGGAAGGGAGGAGATGGGGAATGTTTTGTCTGCGCAGGCGATGAATTGAGAGAAAGTTTGGAGATCAGGATTTTCAAGCAGCTGTGCAGAGTTCAGTTCCGGCGTTCGCTGCAAGAGTCATGACTACCTTCGGTCGGGTGATCCATGAGCGTGCTGGGAAAGCGTCACCCCTGTATGTTTTTCATGAGGGGCGGAGAAATGGCTGCGTTACCCCCCAACAGCCGACGGATGCGCAGGGCGGCTGCGCAGCTCTCAGCACAGATTTGCTGCTGGCAACTGTGACAGTGACGTTAGCGGAGCGCACACAGTGGCGGCGGGAAGGGGGGACCGAAGGGGGCTAACATCCTAAAAACTAAGCTGCCTTTCCCCCAGTATTTATATATATATATATATAAACGGAACATTAGGGCCACATAAAAAAAAAAAAAATTAAGACTTCAAGATTAAAGTCATTACTAACTGGAATAAAGTAGTAAGAAAATCATTATTTACGAGAATAAAGAAGCAATAAAATCATTATTTCCAAGAATAAAGTCGCAATGAAATTATTATTTACGAGAATAAGTTCATAACAAAATCATTTCTTATACATACATATATGTATGTGTATATATATATATATATATATATATATATATATATATATATATATATACATATATGTATGTATAAATTAAAAAAAATAATTAATAATTAATTTATTAAAAATAAATTAAAAAAATAAATTAATTAAATATATATATATGTATATGTATATATATATATATATATATATTTAATTAATTTATTTTTTGACAAGTATAATGGTCACATTTAGAAAAAAAATTACGACTTCATATTAAAGTCATTACTAACGGAAATAAAATCGTAGTTAAATCAAAACTGACTAGAATAGTCTTAATAAAATCATAATTTACAAAAATGAAGTCATAATAAAACCATTACTTACAACAATAGTCGTTATGAAATAATAATTTACGAGAATAAAGTTGTAGTACAATCATTACTTTAAAACAGGTATTGTGACAAAAAGTCTTGACATATGCAAGAAGCAGCTGATGTAGCTTCTCATTAGCCACGACGACTGGTGATTAAAAGTGACAACACTTGATATGCTTGGCAACAAAGGAATACAAAAAAGATAAACTTTTTACATACAAGTGGTACTCCCCAAGTCTTGTGAACACATCATGTTTTGGTAATGTTGACAGGGTTCACTGTTATAAAACAAATATGTTCATGTGTACATTTTTGTAAACAACTAAATGTGCTTTACCAAAAAAAAATGAAATATTATTACCATCAGCACAACAAAAAGTAAAATTCATACACAGAAAATAACCTCAACCCAACTTTATTTGTTAAGCACTTTAAAACAACCACAGCTGAACAAAGTGCTGCACATAAATAGAAAAAACAACGCAGACATAAAAAACAATTAAAACAATAGATAAAATAAAAGTCGAATTAGAAAGTAAAATATAGTTTCAATGTTTTTAAAAACTACCTTGGTACCTCCAGGAGCAGCTGATCAGCTGACCTGTGGCACCGAGCAGGGGTGTAGGGGTGGAGAAGCTCAGAGAGGTAAGATGGAGACAGACCATTTAAAGATTTAAAAACAAGTAAAAGAATCTTAAAATGAACTCTAAAATGCACGGGTAACCAGTGGAGGGAGGCCAGGATAGGAGTAATGCGCTCCCTCTTACGTACTCCAGTTAAGAGCCGGGCGGCTGCGTTTTGTACCAACTGGAGACGTGAGAGGGAGTACTGGCTGACTCCAAAGTAAAGCGCGTTACATTAATCAGACAACATATGTGTATCCGATTTGAAACTTTGCATCCAATATGAACACCAAATGTAAATGTGGAAAAGCATAATAGTACCTCTTTAAAAAAAGTAGGCTGATCGGGAGAGCGAGAAACTGAGACTACAGCCATTTTTACAGCTCTGCTCGAATAACTGAGTTTGAGAACCGAATAGTCTTTGGAAGCAGCCTATTCTGAGATGTTGAAAACCTTCTTTAGTTCTTCTTCAAATAAATCCTTCAGTCTGTTTCCTGAAGTCAAGTACTCAGAGTTCTCCTGAAAAAAAAAAAGTCACTGTAATATTTCCTGAAAAACGGAAAGGTTTGATATTACATCAATGTGAGGATTTATATGGCGATGATTTTTACCTGGTTAAATAAAGCACAGTTGGAGAAAATAAGTTGGACGTCAGACACAAACTCTCCTATAGTCTGGTAGAGTCTCCTCTGTAGTTTGTCTGCTATTTTCTCCAGCCACATTGGATTGTCGATCACATTGGTGTAGTTTTTCAACTGTGGGTGCAAAGCAAAAGGGAAAAGCATTTTACTCTAGCCTTACGTGAACTGAAATAAGGGCATGTGATCCCTACATAAGCCAAATCATTATGTGCATGTTTTTAGAAATTCAAGATCTGTAAAAAAAATAAAAATACACTTGCATAGAGTCTTGGGTTCGAAGTGAATGTCTGTTCCTCATCAGCACAACACAGATACAGGATGAGGTACTGGCAGCCCTGTTTGTGTGGGAAAAATGACAAGATTGATGGCAAATCAGTCTACCATGGATAGGACTGACAAAAGACAAAAAAGCAGGAAAATGAACACAACAGCACAAATATATGACCCCAAAAAGTATACTTAAAGGGATATTCCGGCGTAAATTTAAGCCACGTTCAAACACACCATAACACTGAGTTAGACACCCCCCCAAGACAGCGGTTTATGTCTCCACACACAAACCGCAACCAAAAAGCCACTCATAGCCACAAATAATGCTCGGAATAGCACCTAACTTCATCAACAGTACATATAGAGTCCCAGCACATAGTACCAGCCATCAAACATCTTTTTAGCTTTGCCTGGTTTCTTCGGCAAAGAGACTAAACACAATTCACCCACTCTCCTCCAGCAGCCGCTTGTTTGTGGGTGAGCTCTAAAATTCCTGATTGACATTAATTAATTACAGGGGATGAAAGTCAGAGAGTCAGTGGGTGTGCCTACCATTTCGTGTTGTGATATATCTTTGACCATGACTGCCTCCCTGCTCAGTGCATCCCCATACATCCACTCCCGATTGGTTTTGAACACACAAAAGGTACACATCCAGCGTCTGTCGTCCCTGCTCACACACAGAAACACACAGACCAATGTGAGGTTTGACAAATTAAATCTATAATAGTCCCAGAACATGTCACAGATTATTGGTGTTGATTATTTCATAACTAACATGATCAAATTCAGTAAAGCAATGTCGTAACCCCCAAATTCTTATACAATTTAAAGTTTAAGTTGAGGTGTAAGCATGGTTACAAGTTAAAGAGCAGCGACAAGATCTTTGACTGCTCAACCACTGGAAATTTGCTGGCATGCATCACATCCTGATACGCACGCAGGTGCAAGGGGTGAATGTGCTAGCATCTTTAATTATGCTTGTTTTGGTTTAAGGTCCTTACACACCGGGAACGACGCAACTATATAACGCGAAATTACGAAACATTCGGAGGCGAATTTTGACGTGCCTGATGATATACATCAAGTGCAATGCGATTTTGCGACTTTCCGGGGGGAAAAAAAGATGCATCCCGGGTGGAAGCGAGAAGACTGACACAACAGCAGACTGACTGTTTTTTCAGTTCTGGTTAGTGTTGAGATGGCTGTCTGTCATGATAGCATGTACTGAGTCGGGGCCAGTACCAGATAAGCACATTAAACTATAATCCATAAACGTAAGGTAACAACCGAGACATAATGGTGCTGTGACAGCAACGCGATTGAGTTTGAGACAGTGAAAATACATATGGTATGTTGTATCTGAACAGGTTAGCTTACGAGCTAAAGTTACTTAGCACAGATAAAAGTTAAAACAAAGACGTTTAGCAAACTGTTAAAGCACACAAACCATCGTCATATGAGAAATCCAATGCTATGACTCTTATCTTTGTAATGTTTGTGTCTTTTATCAAAAAGTTCTCCGACACGTAAACAATCAGCCGGTCGGCCATGTTGGATATACCAGTGAATCTGACGTTGCAACAACACGCAATCTGATTGGTCAGAAGTCGACACACATTATGTGAAACTTCAGAGAGTTCGACCGTGATACAAAAATGTTGCTGATGTGAACGCTTGAATTGACAGGATACGGGTTTAAAAAAAATATTGACATCCAAAATAATCGCACGAAAAACACGCTCCCGGTGTGTAAGGACCTTAACTCTAACCCTGGAGTTTTTCACATTTCATCTGACCTGTTTAGTTTTGCTTACCCTAAAGTGGCGTCATCTATATGAGGCAGATGACACTTTTGGTGGAAGGAGCGTGGGCACCCATCACACGCCACCAACTTCCCAATACTCTTGCAGATGCAACACATGTCATCGTTGTTCTGATTCTCCTGCAAATTCAAACATGACAGTACTCTGTTAGCACAGAAATTATAGACATAACCATAGAAATTTATAGACAATCATTTTACACAATACAGCATGAATGTAATTTTCAATAATATGTCATTGTAAATAAAGTTTACCCTATGAAAAAAATGCTCAGAACTGATCTGCAAACTCACAATTTCTTGATGATCCGGTTTGCACAGCCTGCAGGAACACAGCAGTGAGTGTATCCGCAAGATGTTTGTCTGAAAAAGAAAAATGTTATGTTTCTTTTGCAAGTCCAGCTGACATTTTTCACTCCTTAAACAATCTGGATCAGGGTGAGTACTGGAGGTTTGGGGTTTAGGCTCTGCAGCCCGATCTCACACAGACCCTAGTTACCTCTGTGAGGTGACTGAGTGGCTTTCCTTCCCACTTGATGGCTTTTCTCCAGGAGGTTTCAGTCTGACCCGATGCAAACTTCACAAACTCCAGTGGGGTCATCCAGCTCGTCTCAGTACGGATACTTTTCCCACAAATCCCTGGTGTAGAAAATAAGTTGAAACAAAGGCAGATGCTGCTGGGCCTAGCTGGTGGATACAAAGTTTGCCTTTATGTTTAACGTTACACTTTTCAGTGCCTTATGTTAAATACCTCATGTTTTACAAAAAAATCATGAGAGGCAGAGCAAGAGGCAGTCAGTGCGAACAACAACCAATCACTCATGTAAGATGAGATGGGTCAAATCTGTCCCATCTTAAGGTTGGGTCTCGATAATTCATGAAACAATGAGCATGGTCTAGAACTGCTCTTTTTTTCAGAAAGCGTCTCGGGAAAACGACTGTTGTGATTTGGCGCTATATAAAAAAATTTGATTGATTGAACCAAGAAGTCCTGCACTGCTATAGCACAATATATTGAATACATAGTCCACCATTAATCTTAGTGCGAGCTGTAACCACCTCATGCTCTCAAACTTTTTATATACCATATGTACAATATTACAATCAAGCCCACTCCCTCTGTGAGACCGGCAGGTTTCTTGGCAGTTTTTCTGCCCCTACGTCCAAAAAAAAAAATCTGTAATCTCTGATGATTTATTACTTTAAGTGAAATATGTGATTTCTGTTGTTAGCTAAACAAGCTAAACAGAGGCTGTCATCTTTGTTTTGGCCTGTTGACCAAGTCTCTGTCGGGGATCAGCTGATCAGCAAAGGTCCAGTCAGAAGCCAGGCAAGGTAACGACATCCATGATTAAAAATCCACAGGGGTTGAGGATGAAATGGATTCAGAATCGGATAAACAAACAGAGTTGTTAAAGGTATAAGCATCAATAACATCTTATCAGTTCTAATCTCTAAAGTTGATGGTCCTGATGTATAGTCCAGCTTCTCTGCTGGGGCTTCAGTGGGTTTCTTAAGAAAGTAGCTGAACTCGACTCTACCGAAGTTAACAACTTAATAATAGTGTTGTGTAGTTCATGAAGGTTTCGTTCAAAAGTACGGAACTGCTGAGTGAACGACGTGAACTGAATCTCTCTGAGACCTGATTCGTTCCCTTCTTAGTTCAGTTGAGCTCAGCCGCGAGCCCGGCATGCTGGTCGGCAGTGGAACTGCCACCTTAGACTCTGGCGAACGACACACAGCCAGACCGCGGGCGGGCGGAGTCTTGTAATTAACTCACAGCTAATGAACGACCTGTTTCAGTCAGTGAACGAAACATTTGTGAACGACGTGCATCAGTACGTGAACAGAATGATTCAGTCAGTCAGTGAACGACATTGTGAACGAAACGAACGACTTCCGAATGACTTGATGCAGGCAGAGGAGGGAGAGGTGTAGCGTCGTTCACTTACTGCTGAACACCGGTTTATTCACTGAGGCTAAAATAAAACAGTGCATTATAGTGGCTTTACATCAATACACGTGTATAAACTTTACTGCACGAAGGATTTAATTTCAGCCAATTTAAAGCAATACGCTATTTGATATCTTTTAAAGTATCTGAATCCCCGCTACAGCTGCGATATTTATTTATCTTTAATCTTTCCACTTTTCAGGGATATAAAAGAACGATGACTCGTGCTTGTTTAGCGGCCGTGCTGCTTGCTGTTGTTTTCGCCAACAGCAGCACACAGAAGGGTGAGTTCTTCAGGGCAGGGGAGTGATTCTTTTTTCAGGACTTGGCAAATGAACGACATGGGTCACCCAGTGAACAATGCTGTGACTTCAGCAGCAGGGGAGGGGAGGGGCTTATTCAATGAACAAACTCGCAGCTCTGTCACTCACTTGTGTACTGCACCGGCAGGATGGGGCTCCGAAGCACTGACTGATTCAGTGAATGAATCTTTTGAACGAATCGTTTTAATGAACGGATTCTAAGGATTCAGTACAGTCAAAAACTGTTCTTCACATCACTACTGAACAACAACCTCATCAAACTCAACTTCACAATAAATTAAAAAAGCAACAAATAAAACACAAATAAAAACCAAAGACCTGATTTAAAACTGTTGTAAAATAACCAGCTGGATAACTGCTTACTGAAACCTCTAACAAATGCCAGTCTTGTTAAAAACATAGACTCGTGAACACTTTATCTTTTGTTTTTGAAAACCACGTCGAGCTTAACTGAGCAGACTGAGCACTGCCGTGCATATATTTGCATATTCAGCTGTGAAACAGGACATAATGATGTTACCTGATGCAAATCGCTCAACATGCAAGGTCGCATTTTCAGCTCCGCATGTAACTTCGAACACCTCCTTGTCGCTGTCAGCGCTAACTCCTGGTTGCTGCTCTGCCTCATCTTCTTCATCTGTAATAAACACATGCAGATATCAAAGTCAGCACAGCCACAGTCATGACCCTGTGGTACTGTATACACATGAGATCTATCTGATGTCATACTGGTACATCTATGAATATCAAGTAGTTGGAATAAACTACTGAGACAATTGCAGAACTCGTACTGTATGAGGAATCCTCATCTTCTTCCTCCTCCTCTTCATCACCTCCCTCTCCGTCAGACTCAGACTCTACAAAGGAGGAGGTGATTAACAATTTTGACTCAAAGTAGCTGAAGAGATAGAAAAGATAAAGAGATAGAGTGAAGTAATAATAGAGCAATTAGAAAAAAACTAGTAAGCTGACAAGTTGGACTAAAAACCTGGGTGTGGTCTCTGTGGCAGCCGCCATACTGAACACTAGAAGTGGCACTAAAGTGGCAAACAGCAACACCTCATACATCCACCATCTTCCCTCAAAGTTTAATCCAGTACACCCCCTATGATGCAAATTTAGGAAATAACTCTCAGCCCCAAAACCTTCAAAACAAATCAATTAAAAACAGTTTCACTCCCCTGCAGTGTGGATGGAAAAAAGCCATTAGGACCAAAGCTGTGAGGCAGTGACAAACTGACACAAGAAAACAGACCCAGGGGGAAAGACATACCACCAGTGAGGCCAAAGATGCACTCTTAAAATAAAAAGCAAAGCAATGACAAAGGAATTATTTTGCAGAGGTTATTGCTTATAACAGATGGATGGATACAATTATTTCAACCAACCTGTTGGTAATTCATCATCAGATTGAAACAGTGATTTCTTGCCCTGGCAGAGAGAATGAGTGATCATCTTAGATCAGAAACACAATAAACAAAACGCATTCAAAATGTTTTCATTCGTGTTAAAAATAATATCTATACACTACAGGCCAAAAGTTTGGAAGCAAGATCAGATTTGTACAAAAAAGATCATAGTTTCATATACATATGTATAATTTGCAACACAATAAACATGACTATTGTGTAAAGAGTAACTTATCAGAAGACATTTTGACTATAATTATTAAGTATTTGAGTTATTGTTGCTTGGACTTTGCTTTCTTTGAAGTAACCTCATCTGGCTTTAACAACAGCTTGGCATATACCAGGCATTCATTCCACAAGTTTTTTAAGGTATGTTCCAGGGATTGCATTCCAAGCTTTCTGAAGTTCATTAAAAAAAGACTGCTGATACGTGGGATGTGTTTTTCTGACTGATCGATCTAATTTATCCCACACAAGCTCAATTGGAGAAAGGTCTGGAGACTGAGGGGGACAAACCAGTTTGAAGAACACCTTCCTCTTCTTTTTTGTCTAGGTAACCCCGACAGAGCTTTGCAGAGTGCTTAAGGTCATTGTCTTGCTGCAAAACAAAATTATGAGCCACAAGTCTGAGTCCAGATGGAGCAGCATGGTGCTGGAGGATGGAGTGGTACTGTTCCTTCTTCATGATACCCTTTACGTCAAACAAATCTTCTACTCTATCACCTGCAAAACATCCCCATACCATGGAACTACCACCTCCATGCTGAATTGTGGGTGTAACACATGGTGCTTTCAGACGTTCACCAGTTTGTCTGCGGACATAGACTCTGCGTTCTGAACCAAACAGTGCAAACTTGTTTCTAGTCATCATAAGTCCAATTTTTGTGAGCTTTTGCCCACTCATATCTCTTTTTCTTGTTCTGTGGACAAAGTTGTGTTTTTTTTTGCAGATACACAACCCTTCAGACCAGCCTTTCTCAAACGTCATGTCACGGTTGTCAGAGATATGGGTTTCGACCTTGTCATGTTGATTTCCTCCCTTATTTGTGGTGCTGTCTTTTACCGATCTCTCTTACTGGTGACAATGCTATGTTTATCCCCTGCTTTTGTAGTAACTCTCTTTCGTCCAGGTATTTTTCTATTATCATAACTTCCAGGTTCCTCTAGTCTCTTCAGAGTGTAGTGGACTCCTTTGTTAAACACCTTTAGGCGTTTTGCAATTTCTCTTTCTGTGTATCCTTCTTTCCTCAATGTACAAATATGTACTTTTGTTTCTTTACTCAGTTGCTTCTTTCTAGCCATTTCTGCGATAGTTTGTCAGCGTTTTGAACACGGGTGAGATTTATTGGGATTTTTGTATGCAGACACTCAAAAGCCAGTAGGTAAAAGTGAATAATGCAAAGTGATTTTTTTTTACTTTAACACTGAATTTGTGACTCTTGCTAATCTTCTTGAACCTAAAACTAAGCCCTCCCTTTCTTTTGTTGACATTTATTCAGCAATGGTCTGGTAACATCATTGTATATCTAAAGGTAAATGGAGTAAAATGGTGCATTTCCATGAAAGCAACATCCGATCATGGAGTAAATACATCCCAAAATACATAAAACTCATGCTGGATTTTAAAAAAAGGATTGTGAACAAAAACTTGAAGTTACTCCCAACTGTTCAGCCTGTAATGGCCTTGCTTCCAAAATATTTGTGTGTGTGTGTCACCTTTTGAACTCCTCCTTTGTTTCCTGTTGTTTTTAAGTGACCTTCCTGCAGAGAAATTTGACAAAAATAAATTGAAGACGAAGTGATTTCTGTATGTCTAGAACAGTCATGTTTCACCTGAACTTGAAATAACTCTGAACACACCTCCAACAACTTCTTGAGTGGTGTGCCTTTACATCGAATGCTTGTCTTCCAGTTCCTACAGCTCCCTCTTTCTGCAAATCTCTCAAACTCAGACGGTGTGAACCACTCTCTGCCGACTATGATGCATTTCTCCCCTGAAACAATGACAGTGATTGAACTCTGTTATTGGCAACATTAAAAATGGCTGATATACTGGACTTAGACCTGGATTAGATTTGTTCTAAAGATTTCTTGTGATAAAATCTGGTTGGTGGAATCTTGTCTGTTGTTTTATTTTATTTATTTCCTGTAAATAAAAAAGGATTCACCATGGTGCTTGCTTATTTTTTTTTTTTAGTCAAAGCTACTCCACATGTCTTCAACTCTCTGACCTTTAGCCAGTCTTTCTCTATTCAGCATCCCCTCCTTGTTTCCACAGGTCACAGGAAGCTGGGTCTTATAGATTGGCCAGTTCCAGATTTCCTCTGCCTTCTTTATAGGAGCTGAAAAACAGAAACTCTACATTCAGACGTTTTCTTTCACAGCTGTTTTTCCAGCAGCATGAAGAGAAAGTGACTTACAGAAATTTATTTTCTTGGTCTTCTGACTTGGAGTTGTCCGAGTTGATGGACCAGATAGCTCCTCCTCATTGTTACTCAAATGCTTACGTCTCCGTTTTTTCTTCTGTTTTACTGTTTGCAGCTCCTCGTCATTTTCATCCTCAGAAAACGTCCTTCTTTTGCCATCATCCTTTTCTGTTTTCTCGGGCACTTGTGTGGTACATTTGTAAGACCCTACAACAGAATCATTTTTAAAGAAAATTTAAAATGTTGTTAATGTAACATCAATAAATCACAGTGGAGGATTTAAGACAGAATCAAATGTATTTTCTAGAGCATATACCTACTTCAATCTCCTTTGTGTACCCTCAGCTTTTTTATTTATGAGTTAATTTAATATTTTAAATTATTTTGCTCTTTTTGAACCATTTCAATCCTTAATATTTGTCTTCGAGGGAAAAATTCAGGTTCGTACTGCAATTTTTGTGCAAAGTAAACTATTACCAATGTGTAAAACACCCCTATGAGCACAAAAAAAGGAGACTTACCATCCATGAGGCTGTTGTACATCAGTTTCAGAGGAGGATACTGGTTCATGATGGTACCTTTGAAGACACAACTCCAGAAGAGTTTGATGTGCTGTGATTTCTCTGTCTCCAACCAGTCCAGAAGATCATAAAGAGCTCTCTTTATGTTGTCTTTACTCCTCATGCGACTCATCTTCTGCTCACACACATAATAGGAGGATTAAAAATGAGTAATATGATCCAATATATCTGTCAATATGAGTATTTATGATAACTGAAATGAGAAATTATGTCTCAGCAGTACGTTTTTGTTTTGCCGAAGATAAATGTCACTGTTATTTCAGGGGACTTTGCTCTGCTCTTGAAAAGTGCAAGTCTAGTTTTTAAATAATTGTGGTGATGTGTAAAATGTTATCAGATTTTGGTGGTTCATAAATCTTTTAAACCCTTCTTTCGGCAGAAAATCCTGTAAATTTAACATATTAAATGTTGACACTTGTTTTTTGACAAATATTTTCATTTACTGATGCCACCAAACTGTTTAGAAAGGTTAGGGTACTGACAGCAAAACACTGAAAAAGTTGTGTAATTATTAATAAGAACCTAGAGGGACATCTTCCAACTAAATGTACAACATGTAAGTCACAAGTCTGTATTTGAAGTGAGCATTACTGGGAGGTTGAGTCTCTATGAAGATAAAAAAAAGGTTCATCACTTTGTCAGAGAATGCATGAGCAAATATAACAAATTCAGAATGATAGTCCTCTGTGTTAAGATATCTACAGTACATCAGATTGAAAAGATATAGAGAATCTGGAGAAGTGTCTAAACAAAGGGTACAATACCAAAAATCCATAGGGTAGAGTGGAGTAAGCTGAGCCATTTTTCATATTTTGGATCACTACATCAAGGCAATCGTAGTTTTGTTTTGTCTCTAACTAGTGTATCTGCATATATTTCAAGATGTTGTGTATCCCTGCAAACCAACAGAATGAGTGTAAACATAACTGTCTTGATAAAAAAGCATGCCAACAAAAGGGGTCTCCTATGGTCAACGTACCCCGTGTATGGGGTAAGGTGACCATAGGAGGGGGGTAAGTTGAGCCGTATCCCTACTATCCTCACACTTTCCACCCCAGCCCTCCCTCACCTTCTCTCTCCCTAAATAACACTCGCTTCTTCACATGCATGTGATTTTTTCTCTAATATACACAATTCAACTGGTACAATAATTCTTTTTATTATTATTACATACTGTATAATTGCTGAAAAGCTGTTTTGTAAAAATCCATTTTAACATGAGAATGTCTTTAAGTGATTCACAACATTCACAGCTGTATTTTTGAAAAGAAAAAGTAAAACATTTCAACAATCTGAACTGAAACTCTGATCCTCTCATCAGACTCCTTTACTTTCTCAGTTGAGCCACTGGCTCAACTTAGCCCAGAACTATTATGATGACATTATTAGTCCTAAAAAACTAAAATGGTGGACTTATATGCTAGGTTATTGACCCCATAGATACCACAATTGATGGATAAAACAATTTAAAATGATCTTTTTTGGCTTGAAAACAATTCTAATATAACTTGACGGACTAAATTCACTTTCGAGTGAATTTTTGTTTGTTTGTTTGTTTTATTGTAAATAAATGTCTAACCCCTTCACCCATGTGCCTCTAACCTTCACAGACTCCATGAATTGATGCCCATCTCCTTAATATTTGGTCACATGATCATTTTCTTTCACTATTTCCAAGCAACAGGGGGTGGCTCAACTCACCCTTTGGCTCGACTTACCCCGGTCTCCCCTAATGGATAGCAGTGATCTCTGTGCCCTCTGGTGGCACCAAAACAGACCTACTTCATGGGCTCTGGGAGTCAAATGTTTGAAACAATTCTTCATACCCTTTCTTTATTTTTACATACAGACTGATTCACTGAGTGACTTTTACACTGATTACAGTTTAAAAAGTGACTTAAATCTTCAACAAAGATTAGTTAAAACTTAAAATCCTTCGAACTGGCTTGTCATGAAATCCCTGGGGCCCGTGTTTTGCTGACTACTCACAAGGGGGGTTGAGGACGGCGTGATACACACAAATGCAAATTCCCCCCACTTCAGTGCCTCACCTTGTACGTTTCTTCTGGGATAAGGTTGTGATCCCTGAGCTGGTTGATAAAAGTGAGAGGTTTCTCCATGCAGGACAGTTCTGTTTTGCGGCAGTGGAAAAATCGCAGCAGTTCTTCAGGCTCCAGAAAATCCAGCGGGTCCATGGTTGAATCGGCCGATGGTGAGACTCACTTCTTTGCAAAATACCTGCCCGAGAGACGTTAAAGCTGCCCTGGGGGTTACTAGCTGTTAGCCTCCCTTGAGCAGTATGAAACTCCGCTTTAGTAGTTTGGCTTGACTTAAAGGATCAGGTGTAAGTGTGACCAAATAGGCCTGTCAGATATCAAAACAAAGAGTAGCAGATCAAGGAAAAAAGGCCAAAATTTGGGAACAAAATCATATATCTCTGAGATCTTCGCGCCATGCCTTTTCAGCAATATTTTAGTTCCCTTCCTGTGACGTTTGGAAAGTGAAACCAAAGGCTTGTTTTTGGACTCGTCGCAGTGCCAATTTTCGGTAGCAGGGGGCGACAAACTCCACAGAGTAATCTCTGCCCTGACTTTTAAGCTCTCTGATGTAAAGACTTTATTTTTTTTAGTCCTTTGATGTAAAGACTTTGTTTTATCTTGGTTCTTTGCTGTTCTTTGCTTGGTTCTTTTTTTTTTAAGTTATTTGATGTTCACTGTGAAGAAATCGCCTGAGCAAGGGTTTATGCAAATGTGCAAAAGTAGGAGCAATTTTACCCCAAAAGTTTGGGTCAAAAGTTATTCCTAAAAGTTTAAAAGCCAGGGTGAAGGGGGACTAAACTTTTACCCTCAAGCAAATGTACAGTAATTTAGAGGAAGCTTTACTTAAATAGAAGTAAACTAAATCCAAATACTAGTAAAAAAAAAAAAAGTTAAAAGGATATTCCAGCATAAAATTAATTTAGGGTCAAACACATCATAACACCGAGTTAGAGACCCCCTCGGGAGATGAATGTTGCCGACTGCTTGCTTCTCTAGTTATACCAACTTTAGTAATGACCCCACTATAGCAATCCACAGCGGTCTCAGGAGCCACATGCTTAACCAAAAAGCCACTCTATAGCCACAAATAATGCTCAGAACAGCACCTAACTCCATCAATAGTACATATAGTACTAGCCACCAAACATCTTTTTAACTTTGCCTGATTTCTTTAGCAAAGAGATTTAACACAACTCCCCTACTCTCTTCCAGTAGCCGCTTGTTTGCACAGAGACCTCAGACGAGTCCATCAACTGCAGTGGGGGGGCGCAGCTCAAGGAAGAACATTTATGATCATTACTTTATCACTTCCTTGAAGCAATGATCATCATATTAATCATTTTGCACATCAGACGCGGTAGTTCTTCCACCTTAGCGTCTCGGTCTGATTGCATTTCCATGAAGAAATTATCATAAATGTTCTTCCTTGAGACTGCTGTGTATTGCTATCATGCGGTTGTTACTAAAGTTGGTAGTAATGACCGCGAAGCAAACAGTTGGCAACATTCATCTCTCGACGGGGTGTCTAACTCGGTGTTTAGGTGTGTTTGACCCTAACTTAATTTTACACTGGAATATCCCTTTAATGCTCCTGTGAGGAGTTTTTTTACATTAATGAAAAACACTGAAATTCATATTGGTGCCTTAACATATCAAAAACAATTAAGACCATTAGCGACAAGTTTGATGATTTTATTTCTATATTTCTTTACTTCTGAAATTAATGTCAGTTAGCAGACAAGCAAAAAGGCCCTTTTTTGTAAAATGTCATATAAAATATTAACAATAATTGACATATTAGACTCCAAAATATCATAACGACTGTTGTGTCAAAAGTTAAAACATAAAAAGACAAGCATAGACTCGTTGTCAACAGGGGGAGCCAAAACTGACACAAATCTTTAGCTCCTCATGAGCTTTAAAAAGCAAATAAAGTTCTGAGTAGTTGTGTTGAAAATACAACATGAGCCCAAAACCAAAGTGCAACATAGTGATCTCAACACACATCTGAGACAAGTCTAATTTATTTATGTCCTTAGTGGGGCTGTGGATCATAGTCTTGTTCGTATCCTTCTAAGTCATTATAAATAACATCTGCATGCATCTTCTGACAGGTCTGCACCACCTGCAGGATGGTAGCGAGGCGGCGGTCCAGAGCAGAGAGGTGCGCTTCAGAGAGAAGAGGGGCCACCTGGGCCAGAGGGTCCTGTAGCAGAGACTCTTGCATGACATCACTTAGACGTAAACCTTGGAGGGACAAGAGGCGCAGGCGGAGGAGGGTTGAGCGGCGGATCCTACAAACAAAGGTAACGTTTAATTCGCTACAAGTTTTTGGAGTGGAAGGTCTTCAAAAAGCGAATTTCTTATTGTTTTACCTGCAACACTGTTTCAAAGGAGCCAAGATTGATGGCTCATCCTGAGAGTGTCGCCCAAACCTGGAAAACACACATCAGTAAGTCGATGCTAAAAGAATACAATCGTAACAACAATTAAATTGTACTTACGCCCGCCCATTATCCAGGTGTAACAGAAAAGTCTCATTCCCAAATTTCTCAAACGTCTCATAGTGATGTCTGTCCATGTTGCCTTTGAATGGAAAACATTAACTTCATATCAACAACACAAACATACTGATGTTGAGATGAAAATTCAGCGCATTTGTATTTATAGCTGTATTCTTAAATTTTAATTTAGTCATTTGGTAGGTCGCAAACTAACAAGGTTGATATTAGAATATAAACACTGACTCATGAGGAAGTCCAGAACAGCCATGTCTATAAGGTCCACTAGTCTGGTGCCATGGCTGTACGGCGGTGTTTGTTTTACTGTATCACAGTAGTTTGGGTCCTTTTCCCATCTGGAAAAAAAAGACAAGGATAGTGATTTTATAACAAAAGAACATTTAATTTGACTTTTTGTGCTTTTGCACTGAAATTTATCTTAAAACATTTTTATGGTTGTGTAAAAGCAAACAAAACCATCATCACAAAGAATGACAAATTCAGAACTGTAATGTCTAATGACTCATCTGTGCAAAGGGATAGGTGACAGTGGACATTTTTCATATTGAATATAAACAAAAAATTAACTTGACTGTCAGAAGCCAGTAGGATGAACATTTTTGTCAGAAAGCGATATTTAAGAGACCGCTTTGTCCACAGGAAGTGCCAGAAAGTGTCTTAAATACATTGGTTAATAAGAGCCACATTAATCAAAAAAAAAAAAAAAACATCTCTTGAAAAAAGTCATAATGTCACAAGAACTAAGTCATTGTTTCATGAGAAAAAAGTCCTAATGTTACAAAAAAAAAGTTTTTTAGTACTGTTGTGAAATGGGTTACTAGATGAGCAACAAGCCGCCTCTCTAAAAATGAAGGAGGTGGTGTTTCCAATGGTTCTACTTTGATTTAACAAGATGCTCCACATTTGCTATTTTGATACAGGCAGCTGGCTGCTCCTCAAATACGCTATTTCCCCCACCAAACTTTATTCTTGTGTTATTTCAACTTAATTTTGACCTAACTGTGACTTTATTCTCCATTTTTATTCATAGACGTAGGCCTAGTACTCGGTTGTACTTAAAACTCATTTTATTAGGCTGTTTATGATCATTTTAGTTCAGCCTTGTGATAAAAAAAATCACCCAGACACGTTAACAAGGGCACAAAAAACACAAAACCAAAATCCTGTATGAGGAAAATGTCTCCACACCATCTCTGAAATGTACACATGGTCCTCAAACAGTCTCATAATTGCACATCAACTGCTACAGAAACAACCAATACTAATCGCCATGACATTAAAAGGGTTTATGTGGGGCCCATTCTAATTAAATGTTGCAGTTGCTCATTTAGACCACTGGAGGTCAGTAAAGACTGAAAACCAAAAACCTCACACCTCAACCTCATAATCAACAAGCAACAAGACAAACACACACACACAAAGCAATGCATGCAAAATTATAACACCATAAGTCCAAATTTTGAATACAATATTTTAAAAAATTAGTTAAAGTGGACAGGTTTTTTTTCTCATGCTGTGAACAAAAGCCAAGTTGGTATTCATATTCCGTTGGTCTTTAAAGATCCACATGCTCATTATTAATGAATACTTAAAAATCTAAAAGAGAGCATGATTCAAACAATTTTGATATCTAGAAACTGGCAGGTTGCTTACTTTGCCAGCTTGGTGCGGCTGTAAGAACGCCTCCACGGTGACCTCCAGGATCTGCGGGGAGCTAAGGTCAGATCAGGGAGCATGGCAGCCAGGGAAACCTCCAGAGCGTGTGGTGTACCACAGACAGGGTGCTCTGACGAACAATAATACTCACACTGGCCATAGAAGCAAACGTTTCCAGCTGCAGGCCGTCATAGAGATAGCAGTGTGAGTTTAGCAAACGGTAAAAACAGTTTATGACAGATTTACTTGTGAAAACGCACCAGGTGAAGTGAAGAAAGTTCTGGACAGTCTGTGGTCGGTGGTGATTCCTTTGATATCCGTGGTGACGTTAATAAGTCGACCTACCACTGGAGGGATCCTGTTAAAGCCAAGTACTCTGGGAACAGTAGCAGATAGAGAGAAAGGAGCCCCCAAAAGAAAGAGAGAGCTAGCATGAGCAAGAACATACTACTGTGCGCTAACAGCTAATGCTATCTGTCAACCACTTTGTTGCCATTGTGCTAGCTAGAAATAATATCTTGGATGTAATGTTAGCTGTAAATTTGCCCCGTCCTGCGCTGTCCAATAGCACTGCTGAACAAACACAGCAAATTTTTAGCCTTTTCTTTGCTAACAGTGTTTGAATGCTAACATTAGCTATCGTCAAACTATAGCTGTATTTAGTTTTAGCTCTCAATATAACCTGGTTTCTACTAGCATTTTCTTTATACAGTGTGTTTTCAGTTGCTGATCAGTTAAGGAGCATTGATATGATATTTAAATGTCAGGGAAAAGACACATTTTTCATGTCAAATGAAGAGAACAGCTGTGAATACAGTCAATAATCAACCTAGCAGGACGTTAGATTCCTTACCTGTCGAGGTGAAAAGCAGCGATCTCTGCATTGTGTCTTTCAAAGTCTGAGAAGTAAAAGAGGTTTACATCTGTCTCTGCATCTCTGGCTTGTCTTTAAGTGACAAAACATAGACAAAAACAAAATGGCAAAGGTTATCCTAAAATACATCAGAGGTGGGAATTGCAAGATTGTAAATGATATGGTATGTTTTGAAACTTAAAGCTCCAGTGAGGGTTTTTTTTTTTTTTTTTACTTCTATGAAAAAGACTGAGAGCAGTTTTGTGATACATTTTCTGACTACCATAATAGAATGTAAACTGAAGTTGTTTTCCCGAAAGGAAGTCAGATCCAAACCCTGCTCTCACATGGTATATTTTGTGTTTGGGTTCAATCTCTCATTGGACTTAGATCATATGGACCCTCTCCATTACAGCAGTAGGTTGGACAAACTGTTGGACTTGGATCAAATTTTAATGATAATGTTAAATTAATAGTTAATTTTCATTCATTTTGAGTATAATTAATAGTTTCATTGTTATCAAAAGTTTATTTCTTTGTGAATGGATGAATTCACCCACTTTAAAGTATACTTTTGACTATTTGAAGAAAGCACAATGATTTTTTTTCTTTTTTAAAACAACTACTTTCACATGTAAAGAACAAATTAAGGAGAGATAACATGTACTACTCTGTCAACAGAGGCTCCTTAAAACCACCACAGTAAAATTACTAACAGGAGCTTTAAAGCTGCTGTATGTCGCTTTAGATTTGTGCTAAGTTTGGTGCACTCCTGTAGACACAGTTATGCATCTTTTAACTACACATACCTTTCATCCTTTACTTGCCAAGGTAGAAATTCTTCAAAAAAAAAAAAAAAAATTGATAAGACAAGAAAAACTTTATTTATTCTTGAGGGGAAATTTAATGCTTATGATGGTGTTGTTTTCTTTTGTTGGTTAAAACTATGATTTAATCACTTTGTTCAGCCTGTTTTATAACCACTAAAAAGTCCTCACATGAGCTTTAAAGTTTCCTTGGTAATCATTTAGTTCTGATCAATATTGTGCTCTTCTAGGTAACTGCAAAGCTTTTTAAATTAAAGAACCAAAAGGTAAAACAAAAATCTTTAACACTAGCACACAAATTCTTAGCGATTGATTCCCAGTTTCGATTTTCTCCCTCACCTCTAGCTTATAAAGTATAAAGGACAGCACAACAGTCCTGCTCTGCTGAGCTTTCCTGTTTTCAGAGAAACCTCCAGGTAAGACTCAGCTGTCAACATAGCTGAACTGCAACAACACAAACAGCCTGTCAGCCTGGCTTTCATGAGTCAGTCATTTATTTGTGTTTTCAGAAACAATCTGTCCTTACTTCATGGGTTTCAGCAGAGCTTGTCCGTAGTTTGGGAACGACATGAGCAGTTTGAGCTGTGTGCCTCCAGTTTTCTGAACTGTAAGATATGCAAAAAGAAAATAACAAGGCTGTTTTATAGACAGTATAAAAATGACAAGAAACACACAAGGCTTACTGTTTTAACAGGAAAAGGCACTTGAGATGGCTGCTGTAGTACTCTGGTGTGAATCTATCTATTACTATTCAGCACAATTTTTTAGCCATTTGGCGGCCTGTTACATAATTATACTTCCAATTGCCACTGGATCACACGTTTTGTTCACTGCTGCAGCAGGACATGGATGAAATACTAAGTGAAATTGTTTTCACAGCAACATTTTTATTCCCCCCTTGGTGCATTATTCATATTAATCTATGAATCATGTTTGTGGTCTTTGGTGTGTCTCTGAACTGAGCGTTTGGACGCAGTTTTACTCCTGCATCACTCCAGGCTAGAAGAACTCAGTGTATCATGAGCCTGTTTGTAATTTTTAATGCATTTTCGCACCCTCAAACGTGTGAATCAGACGCTGAGACACATTTTTTGGACCAAAAAAGCTCAAGCTGACTCACTCACACTTCAGACAACTGAGGGGTTTTTTGAAATGAAGCACTCATTCTCATTTCAAGTAAAGCAAATCAATACCGAAGAGAGCAGACTGGTTTGGTTATCATGTGCCATGCCGACAGGAGGAAGTCCAGTAAATATGGGCTTGTGTTGATGCTGTGAAGTTGCGCCTCTTTGTGTGTGCATGCCACGTGTGAGGGGTGAGTGGGAGGATTATATTAATGAACAGGCATCAGGCATTACATTATCGTTCTTTTACATAATCCATCGCCCATTTTCTTTCTTAATTATTGTGAACTTGCGTTATGCAAGATTGGAGTTCTGCAAAGCTGATGGTGTTCCAAGTTGTTGAAAAGTTTTGTCCGGTACAACTCATTCAAACCCCATCCATTTCCACAGTCTCAAAAACTTACTTTTATCTGCACCCTCTCTGTAAAAAAGTAAATAACACATGCTGTACCAGTGAGCAGGCACTTGGCGACAGTTAAAATGACAAAGACTTAATTTGATAGGTAGAAACCTCAAAGAGAGCCAGACGCTTTTGTGGACGACCATCTGCCAGACTAGCCGAGAGAAGAGAGGGTCAGCAATAGAGACTGATAAAAATTTAGGGACGACCGGAAAATAGGAAGATGGAGACACAGACAAAACTGAAGACAGGGACAAACACAGAGATAGGCATGGAGACGACAAGGAGATGGAAAGGCAGAGACAAGCTAAGAGATAGATAGACTGATGAATAGACAGAATTTCAGTGGGACATAAGGACAAAGTGAATGACAAGGAAACGGGAAGACAAAGTAGGAGATGGACAGAAAAACATTAGAAGACAGACGGTAAGGCAGAGAGTCAGGAAATTGAAGTCAGGAACAGGGCGATACTGATCAATAAGTGGGCGAAATTGAGACAGATGGACATAAAGTCTAAAAAACAAGGAAAAAACAAGTTGGGGGGAATGAAATACACTCAAGTCAGACTCACAGAGCTAAAGGAAAATAAAAAGACTCAAGACAGAGAGACACTCAAGACAAAATTGGAAACAAGAGGACACATAAGACAAACAGCAAGACTAAAGATATACAGAACTGACAAAAACAATAGAGACACATAAGACAGCCAGGGCAACACAAAGAAATCCTAGAGGACAGAAAGGGACACATAAAGACACAAAATACAATAAAGAAGATATGAAGACACACAAGAAAGACATACAGACCAAAAAAAGAGAGACAGGGAGGCACAAAGACACACAACAGACAAGATGAGAAAAAGACAAAAGACGAGCAGAGAGACATGAAGACGGTCAAAATATCCAGGTAGACATAATGAAGAACTGTGAGATGGGCAGGGGGGGACATGAAAGACAAAAAGACAGGAAGAAAAATTTTGAAATGTACAAGAAGACACAGAAAAACTAAGAGGCAGAATTTAAGACAGGAGACAAAGTCGGATATGCAAAGTACATGATAAATTAATAGATGGATGGATAGTATGCTAACAGCAAAAACAATAATACAGAGCTACAGTAGAAATGCTGATAACAATGAGAGTTATCTGATGTTTTTAACTGTCATAAAATGAATGTGAATGATGATAACTGTTGTAGAAATGAGTCTTTTTATCAGCATCAAGTATGGTTAATACGACTGTAAGCAATAAGCATCAGTGATAATCATTACTGCAGCTGTGTTTGTGTAACATTTAGTTAATGTTATGCCGACTTTCATATATAAAACACTGTCAGTGGATGAATAACCTTCGCTCATCTCTCCTCTGTTTGCTTTTCCTCCTCCCTAAACTCAAACTCCGACTGGGAGGATTTGCAGGTCATCAAACAAAGTGCTTAATCCTCCTGCTTATATTTTTTTTTCTGTGTAAATTTGTGTAAAAGAAAATTGAATATGTATGACTTTTAAAGTATTATCAGAGCCTCAGTTATTCATCACCCAAAACATGTAACTTTAAGTGGAATTCTGTCTGAAAATGTCATTTTTGCTGGTCTAGAAATGAACTTCGGCAGAGTTTACAGTATTCAGTGAGTGGAAACTTAAGTGAATACTCTGTGTTGCCTCTGGCTGTAATGCAGAGCAGTTTGTTTGTACAGAGGGATTAGAGTTTAGATGAGAAAGCAGCTTTTTTGTGACTTTTAAATGTATCAAGAGGGGTGATCGTAAAAAATTTAAGCCGCAACTCTAAAAGGACAATTCAGGTAAAGTATTAGGTTAGTTTCTAAATTTCATTTTCATTTATGGAGCAGCTTTGTTATCTGAGATGAAGCACTGTGTTTGTCTGCTACTCATGAGAACATAACACTGGGAAACAGTGACAGTACAGAAACAAATTTAGATTTTTTAAAAGTGAAATAACTAAATAAAGTGCTTCTTACATAAGTGGGATATGCAGATCTTGGCAGGACATGGATAACATTAAGAGAACGATGTTGGCGGTATGTTTTCTTGTGGTTTTAGTGTGCCAAAGATTTAATTCTGTCTAGCTGACACTTAAGGATGTATTCTTGGGGAAATTAAGATGACACTCCCCCTATAAAACCTTCCTTTTCCCTGATTCCTTGCCTTCCACACTCCTTTTTCTCTCTCTATCCATTGACCTTTTGGACCTGCCCCCCTCCCCCCTCATTGGCCTTACCAACACCAAGAATACGCTGTGTTGCCAAATAGTGGGACAGCTTGGCCAGGTTGGGATCCTTCCTGTCGTACAGCTCCCAGCGAGAAATACCCAGGTGGAACCTCAGCCAAGGAGGATGGGTCTCCACGTCACTCGTCCAATTGAGTTTGTCGTAGCCTTCCTCCTGGCTGCCGCTCTCCCTGCAGGGGAGGAAGAGGAGTTGAAAAATAAGAATCAAACTGTAGATCAGAGGGTGTTGTTTCAGATTAGCTCAGTGCTATAAACAAAATGTGAGGATGAAATCGCTGATAGGGCGAGAGGTGGAGAAAGGAAGATTCTTGGATTTTTAAAAATATGCTATGCCTTAAATCTTTGTTTCTTTTTAAGCTAATGCACAAGCATTAATGCTCTTCTCTCTTGTGCCTTCTCCGTATTTTTGCTCTGTGGGCTGGAGAGAAATGCCTTTTTCTATTCCTGTATATGTACCAACATACTGCAGTTTTTGACTAAAAAAAGCTTGAAACTTGACAGTGCCAAAACCTGCAGTTCCCCAAGTGTCCACTTGAGGCTGACTGCTCAAGCGAGAATTGTTTTCAGCTCTCGTGTTAAAGCTCCGGTGAGAGATGGATTAGATCAGTTTTCGGTGTCCTCTGTGGAGCACAATGATTGCATTTTAGTGTGGCACATTTTCTTTCCTCCTTACTTGAAAATATCATTAAAGAACAATTGACTTTTTTATGCAGCACTTAGCAAAAATAGGTTTACAAAATGCTTTAAGAATAAATAAAGAATAAGAGAAACATGAGAAATACAGTTAATGAAATGATGGCGAGTTAATAACAAAAAGCTGCAGAAGCAGCAGAAATGAGGAGGACGAAAGCAAAACAAAAAGATCAAGACAACCAAAGATAAAGAAGGATAAAACAAATCAAATAGGCCAAAATCAGATTGTAACTTTAAGGGATATTCCTGCGTAAAATTAATTTAGGGTCAAAACCACCGTAACACAGAGTTAGACACCCCCTCGAGAGATGAATGTTGCCGACCACTTGCTTCTCTAGTTAAACCAACTTTAGTAACAATCGCGGGATAGCAATACACAGCCGTCTTAGGAGCCACACACAAACCTCAACCAGAACGCCACTCTGTAGCCACAAATAATGCTCATAACAGCACCTAACTTCATCAACAGTACATATAGGGTCCCAGCCATAGCACTAGCCACCAAACAAAATTTTAACTTTGCCTGATTTCTTTAGCAAAGAGACTAAACACAAGTCACCTGCTCTCCTCCAGCAGCCACTTGTTTGCATGGAGACCTCAGGCCAGTCAATTACAGACTGCAGTGGGGTGACGCAGCTCAGGGAAGAACATTTATGATCATTTCTTCATGGAAGTGCAATCAGACCGAGACGCTAAGGCAGAAGAACTACCGCATCTGCAGTGCAAAATGATTAATATGGTTTTTATTACTTCAAGGAAATGATAATAGTATAACAGAAAAGCAAGCGGTCGGCAACATTCATCTCTCGAGAGGGTGTCTAACTCGGTGCTATGGTGTGTTTACGCCGGAATATCCCTTCAAAACATCCCTTTTAGATGGATTTAGAAATGGAGTCATACACTACAGTATTTGCAGTAAGTTTGGTGTAGCAACATGGATAAAAACAAACAACACTTATAAAAAACATTCAAATCAGTAATGACACTAAGAAGAACTTTGAGCATTTACTTTAGTTGACTGGCTTACTTTTCTTGGCGTCATGAATGTCTGGATGGATTTTCTTGGAAATCATTGCACCAGTTGGGTTATTTTAGCTGAGAACAAATTGGACTGACTGCATTTGGCATCTGTGGAGCTGTGCTATTAGCATGGCAAACAAAGAGAGGCTCCTGATCCTGTCTGTTTGGGAAGTTCAAATTTTAAAATTTCCATTTCAGAGGCAAGTGTTTAGAAACCAGACTATTACCTCTCAAACTTCACCGCCTTTTGGAGAACTTGAATCCAGGAGCATTGTTAATATATAATCTAGTGGACCCATAAATGATTAACACATTTTCTCCGTCTGTTTCACTCACCACTGGCTATCATAATTGATGGAGTCTTCTTCATTTCCTGAATCTTTTGCATGCGTAGTTGGCTTCACCCTTAGCAGCCAATCGTCTTCCTGCAGCTCTGGGCGCGGTAGGTTGTACAGCGGGTGCTTGAACAAAGCCTCAAGTTTGGAATGACCTTTGACCTTTTGGATAACTTTTCCAACTTGAATTAGTTTCTTTTCAGTGGCATCGTTGTAAGAGTCTTTGTCTTTAGGGAGTAACTCTTTGGCAGTCAACTGTAGATGCTTTGCATTCTGGGGTATCGTGGGTAGTTTGTGTGAAGAAGAGGCAGCTGAAGAAGAGGAGGAGGAGTGGGAGCTAGACTGACGCTGCAGAGTATCTGCTCTTCCAACGGAGGATGAAGAGGAGGCGGGGGGGACACAGGCGGTCTGGAGGACGGTGAGACAGAAAAAAGCCAAGAGGAGGTGGAGAGCCAGGGACAGACACGCCAGAACCAGATAGATAGAGCGAGTGGAACGACCCCGGATCTGTCTGATCATGCTGGAGGAAAGAAATGAGAGACAAAGAGACAGAGAGAGATACATTTAAAATCCAAACAGACCATGAAGCTCTGCCAAGCCTTCAAACATGATCATGATGAAACATTTTCTGATTATTGTACTCCACTTTTACACGCATGCAGGAGTGAACAAAATAAGGAAAACACCATCTGAATACGAATGATTCCTTTGAAGTAGCTGGGCTGCTCACTAAGGCAGCTATATTAAGGTAGATGCCAATTAGTGCCATGTTGCTCATGAAGAGGGCCTCACTAACAAGGGCGGATCAGAACACAAGTGAAATGCAATATGATTTGTTGTGGTACAGAAAAGAGCTTAATTGACGACTTATGTTGAAGATAAAGAAGGCAAAGTGGTCTGGCAGATAATGACTATTACTTATTCCCGCCTTGTCCCAATTCAGCACATCAATGAAGGGGCATTTATAGCGAGCTAGTAGGAAGCACAATAAATTAACCACCTTTGACATTACTTGCGAGCTTGCTGAACATCATATAATGCCAATGCCATACTCAATACTCAATGCCAATCAATAAGTATGAAATTGTGTAAAAATTTCCCTGAAATAGTCAAATCAACTTAAATAAGGTTAAAACCATGTTTTTGATAAAACAATGAAGCCATATTTCAGGGCCCTTTACCTAAAAAAGAACCATCAGCATGTCAATGTCAGGTCAGGCTAAATCTTACTTTTTGTTTATCCATAAAGCAGTTCCACAAAGATGAGTGTCAGGCCCCATGATTTTTACTATCGATATCAATGACATTATTTCATCTTGGAATGGTTGCCATGCCCACTTTTATGCAGATAACACTATCTAAGTATCTAACAATACTTACTTTAAAGCCAAGAGGTATTTGGAACAAAAACAAAATTGTCCACTTTCGAAAGACATGTTGTCAACGAGGCTAAAAGCTAAACATGCTTGCAAAAGTTTTCTTAATATTCAAGTTATAGTGAACTTCACTTTGCAAGACATTTACCTTATACACAATTTTGACTCTAAAGGCTACATGTCAGGCATTTGTATTCTCACCAGGTCAACATAAGTGAACAGGCAGAGAAACAAGCATCCATGTGACACTGACATGCACACGCAGAAGATGAAAAAACTGTCAGAAAATCATTGACACCAAATCCTCAAAGAAAGAACAGCTCATGAAGAAAATCAATACATTATTGAACAACTTGCTGCTCCCAAAGTCCCTGTGTACATCAGGAGGCCGGAGGAATCACTTACATCTTTTTTTCCCTTCAAGACCTTTTTCCCTCTCTGTCTCTGTCACGCTCTTCTGCCTTTGTTAATAATGTAGATTTTACTCTCTTTCTTTCCCAGGACGATTGCATTTGCCTGTGTGTTTAATTGTTATCACTGAGTCCTGGCAGTGCAAACAGAAGTGAGAGGACTTTCAGTTTGTGAGTCGAGGTGACCTGTGTCTTTGTGACCCACTGTCGAGAGAAGGGGGAATGACTCTATAGTTGCCAAATGATCTTTTACTCGGCCTGGATCAATACAGGCTGGGTGATAATGAACACTAGTCAGGAGGTAAGAGTGAGACATGGATAACAGCACGACAATGAGCTGCTGGTAGATAATTGCCATTTTCTAATGAAGCCTATTTTTTACCATCACATTTATTTTGCACAGTGCTTCTGGTGCTTTCTACAGCTGTGTTCAGGTTGTAGCATTGTGCTAGAATTACAAAGACACTCTGAAGCACTGTACAAGACTAGTTTGAGTACCACTGCATATTTGCTAGTCCACTGGCCATCTTTAGTTGATGATTGGAAAGATTGGTAATTCTGGTAATTTTATTATGAACCTTGTTTATATGGTGATTATGGTCCTTTAGTGCGATCTCCTCAAAGCAAAGAGAAAAAAGAATGGAAAAAATCCTTTCACCCTAGCAGGTGCAGGGCTGCAAAAACATTGACCAATAGGAGCCATCCATCCCAGACAGCTCCTATTGGTCAATCTCCTGCTCCACCTCTCCATCCAATCACCTTGCTGTATTTGACACACCCCCTCCCGTGTTTCGGACTTGTCCCCTCCCACTCTTCCGGCTCTCCTTGGAGCTCTGAGCGGCGAAAAGTAGCATAGCAGCTTAGCTACAGAAACTGTGATGGAAAAAGATGCTAAAATAACAACTTCTGCTAACCCCACCGCCAAAAGTGCTAAGAAAACGCAAGCCGACAGAAAGGGCAGAGTCGAAGAGGAAATGTGACCAAGCCAGGAATCTAACTTGAATAAACATCGGGTCATCCTTTGAGCGGTGGAGAAAGCTCCACCAGGATTTGGGCCTGAAAACAGATGCTGAGACAGCAGGGTTTTTGTAATGGTACCTTTTATTGTGGCACGTTACATAAATAACTTTTATTAGTCTCTGCAATGTCAACACGGTAGTTGTCCAGGCAGCTGCAGATGGTGCTCGCTAGCAGAGCTGGCGTTCACTGCTGCTGGTCACTAGCAATCCGACATGGTGAATCCTATTTGAAGCTAGCGTAGGATCTTCCACCGGCCGGCTTCTTGCTCTGCCAGAGGGGGTGTGCCATGGGGAGGGTGATACAGGTTCGGGGGGAAGTTATCGTGGAGCAGTTTTTTTTAACTGCTTCTCAGATCGTCAACCATGCCTTTAAGGCTGGTTGTCTTTGATGATATTAGCATTTAGCCTCTAGCCAACTTTACATCAGACAAACATTTACACCAACTGCGTAACACACTAAAAGTACAACTAGCTTTCTGCCACTTCGTCATCAAAATATTGATAAGTGTGTTAGCTAAATAAAATGTATTATTATTATTATCTGGTTGGTTTTACCTGAATAATGTATCAACACCTTCATATTTGGACATCGCCGAGACCAGCCGGTTGTGATGAGGCCAAGATAGGCCAGCTAGCTGTCTGTAGCTTTCATCTGTTCTCTGGATTTCACATAGGCTGTCTGTCATCTGTGATTGCACTTATTCACACACACAAATTTAGCAAATCTTGTAGAAACTAGAGGTACCAACAAAAGTGGCAAATTACGTAATAATTCTGAACTGTGGACATGTTGGTTTTCCCATTTTGTTCCATCGGTTTTTTAATTCTTGATTGTGACCTTTACTGCTACAAAAGTGTAACAGCTGAGCTACAGTAATAATCTGATTTGAGACAAAAAAAACTGTGATAATTTCAAGAAAAAGTTCAACTAAATGGCACATTTAAAACGACTGTAGTCAAACCAAAGTGCTGTAGTAGCCTACAAACGTACAAAAAAAAAAGAGGAATATACATTAAAAAGACACTTAAACATGATAAATGAAATGATGTGAAGAATGAACAAGAGAAAGAAGAAATAATGTATAAAAAATAACTCATCATTTGGATTTTGGATTTTGAGTGGGAACTCTGAGTTGTTTATGCTCATTTTGCAAATTCATGCAGACTCCGCTTTTTTAATCAGAGATAATAGTTCGCTTTCAATTTGGATCAAAACTCAGGGCGTTTGAAGAACAGCCGGTTACATTCACGTCTAAAAAGTTGTTTGACACTGGCAGCACACTGAGGTGTCGAAACACGCACATCCATAAAGAAAGCAGAATAATGAATTCAGATTTGAAGGGATCCCAGATTAAATCAAATATTCATCTCTTTGACACAGTCTCTCTCTCTTTGTCTGTCTTTGAACATGTCCCTTCTGCCTTTCTACCACAAAGCAAACCATCTATTACATCTCCTGCTTTAACTTTAAATCCTACTCTCTTCATTGCCCCCACAGAGGGTTGTAAAATAGCTCTCACACACACTGCTAATTAGCCAACTATGTTAGTATTAATTAGCTGTCGTAGCTCTGAGAATGAGATAATGTATTATGTATGTTGTAGTAGGTCCCGGCAGAGTGTGAGGATGTATTTCTATAACCTGTGGCCGTCTCTTGTTGTAGCTTATGTGGTTTCTTATGGTTCATTACATGTAAACAACTGTTAGATGTCACAAATGAGACAATAATATAAACACACAGAGAGAAAGACAACATGGGAAAACAGAAATTGTAACGCATGACAAAGGCAATTTATTCTCATTATTACAGGATGTCCTTGTGGTTTAATATCAGAGTTATATAACTGGAACCATGGGTAATTGGCATCATTATTCATTAGATTCATGGCCTGATGTGCCTAAGAGTTGTCATTACTCAACATTTTCAATATGCCAAAACTTAGTGAGTGCCTGAGGACGCCCCAGTCTTTCTGTTCTGTACTGTAATATTATGATGCTGCTCAACAATAAACAAGTCAAATCTTCTGCCACACTGGCTGCTCTGTTTGACTTGGCTCATGTACAAAGCTGCTTTGGGCTAATCGCCTACACAAGCATGCTAACCAGCTGACAATAGCATGAGCATGCCGTTGTTTTCTCACAGAAATTACAAGCGAAGTTATCGATCCATTCATTGGAAAATATCATGTAGAACATACAAAAACACACGGGGAGCATCGCTGGGAACGAGTGCATGTGGTTCAGGTTCGTTCCACAACCTGCGCATGCCCCCGGTCTGCACAAAGCACTTAATGCATGAAAATCCATATATGAGCTGATGAGAGGCTCTTACGATGAATCATGATAAAAGAGAGGAAGGCAGGGAGAACAAAGTCTCTCAAACAGAAATTGAGACACATGTGAATGAAGTTGAGATCAGACAGCACATGTTGTTTTTTATAGCAGGAGGGTCAGTACTTGATATTAAAAACAGACATTGAGACCATGTTGCTGCAGTACCCGCGTAACACTTCAGCATCTCTTCCTTTCTTCATGATATTATGTGATCTAAGTTTGGAGTTTATCATTTATTTAATATAAGTTTACAAGTTCGGGTTTGGTTGAATGCGTGGCTCTGTGTATTGCTATCGTGCGGTTGTTACTAAAGTTGGTATAACTAGAGAAGCAAGCAGTCGGCAAAATTCATTGCTCGACAAGGTGTTTAACTCGGTGTT